AAGCTTAATGGTCATTACGAATCAGTGGGAGTATCTGCCTAATTGTAGATAACCACTTAACTGGATTATAACACCTGTTATACTTCGGCAATCGAACTATTTTCCTGTTCGTAGTAATAATTTAATACGTAATAGTACACGGTTTATTTCTCGATATAACGACGATTCCAGATTTATGAAAATATTTTTTGTAAATAATTATCGCGTTTTGCCCAGTCCTAAACCTTTATTGTGTTATAAATAAGCGTTTTGACGTTACATAAATTCACGTAAAATACTTCTTTAAACCTTAGTCAAATTAAAGGGTTGAAAATATTTAAACCGTTAGACTTAACAAGTAGATTCTAGTGATTATAGTGTAATAATCCTTAACTCAGACCAAATCTAATTAATTCATTTAATTTAATTAATCAATACCGATTAACCACACTGCGATATAACAACAGGTGATACGTATTGATGTAATGGATGTACATCTGCATGCTTCTCTTTCTTTTTATTTCTTGTACATATCCTTCATAAAGACTAATTATTGTTTTAATAAATATACGACAGATTGTAGTTGAGAAATGAAGACAAGAAAAAAAAAAGGGAAAAATGTATCGTACAGAGGTAAACATTTGACTCTTTTACTGATCGGTGTTGTCATCTAAATAAGTTAATCTTCTGCGGATTTGTCACGTTGGTTGCTGACAAATGTTACATAACCGTACACCTGCAAACGAAATGAGCTTCTTTTTGTGTCATACGAATACCCGACCTCTAATTGCGGTGCAGTGGGCTTTCGACCCTCATTTTTCACACATACATATCAGGTGCCCGTGATGACTATACAACAACACAGTAGCAACAATACGAACACCTTAAAAGATTCTCGACCTCTTTTGCCATAAGTTTAGGCGACACAATCTCGCCGCTCTATTTCAAACATTTCCGAGACTAACTCGTAAATACAACTCCCTTAAAAATAATAACTTCTCACGGTATCATAATTATCAATATTCACCGAACGCATCTTCATACCACGCGATTAAAATGCACGTCAAATAATATCTCTATATTAGTATAGCTAATAACATATAACCAATCTAGATATACCACAGAAAAAAAAAAATATATAAAATATTTTTATAAATACTAAATAATAACAAGATTCATATCCAGAATTGCATACATAGGCGTAACTCTCTTTGAATACATTTTTATTGACATGATGTACTATCGATATAGTAAAGAATATAATATAATATGTGTGAAGTAGATGCGACATAAAATATGTAATTTAATTAATGTTATACGTTAGAGAATAAACATTTATTAACTACTGCCAGGGCAGATGGTAAATATATTTTCAATTTAGGGTTCGAAGGGTTGTGTCCTACTTTCATTCAGCCATTTTGCTCGATCGTGTCACTTGGCTGTCTGGGGAATACATTTCTTCTTTTTTTTTTTTCCTTTTAACGTTCCATTGCACGTTTACGGCTGAACAGAATATACACGTCAGGAATTTCCGTTATCGACATTGGTAGCGCAAAGTCGTGTCGTTAGTGACAACGAGTAAACATATGTCATATGTTCATGCCAGGACTGCATGCAGGGCCGGCTCAAGCGACATGCAAGCAGAGCGCCAAATGCATCAACCGTGTTTGCAAATATTGAAGTAAAAAATATTAAAGCTAACATCTCTCCGTATGTGTGGTGCGTATTTGATGGCAAATATTGGTTTTATAAATGGCCCAGCAAAACATCGTAACAGGATATGGCGCGCAGACCTTTGAAAGGAATCCTAGAACGGTGTAGTCTAATTTTTTTTTTTTTAAATTATTCAAACTTCGGAAATTTCACTTCTGGAATTCCCGATAAATACAGTTAAGTTACATGATTTTACAATTACAATATTACGGACACATAACCTAAGCAGTCAGATAATAGAATTTTTCAGACGCTATCCCCTATTCGCCCTGAAAGTCTGAAAATTGGAGATTAATTACAAATGATATATTATGTATATATAGATTATATATATTATACATTTTGATAAATAACATTAAGGCGATTAAACATTCGTCTTTGTCGGTGCACTAGAAATTAAATATATAATTCATGGAGTAGTAATTAGTAAGTTACTTTCATTCCATATTTTATCATACCTACGTATCACATGTTCAAAGTAGATAGAAGATACCCATTTTATGCGTGGATTTATTTCCAAAGATTATTTTTCAAAAGATCCTGAAATAGTGTTAAAATATTCTTACCATTAAACAACTCCACTTCATTCGCTATTACCTTCATAACAATATTCGTTACGGCGAAACGTAATACCTTTTACCAGTTATCGCCCTTTCGTCCTCTCCTTTTATTTAATTATCACGGTATATGTTGGGAAGGCAGCGTTAACGCGTTTAATTTCCTTTATTCACTGCTTTTCAAACTGAAAGCTGTGCAGAAGTCCTGTAAACCTCGACTGCACCATTGTCATTTTACACGTTATGGGAGAACAATACAGAAGGCGTTCGCTCGAGTCAGTTTATGTTATCTTTGAATCCTTCTGCTCGGTGGAATCAAAGCCACTGACATCGGAAGCACAGCACGTTAACGATCTCATCAACCGCTCGAGTGGAGTTATCGAAGGACGCTTTAAAAGCCTCCTTTCGAATAATTCCACCCAGCTTTTTGTCCTAAGATTCGGGTATCGAGGTGGCCGAGGTCTGCCGAAGGTTTCGCAATCGATCGCTCGACTTTCCATGGATAAGCATCGTCATTGCCTCGCCGATGACGTGATTTATTGTACTCGAAGCTTTTATGAATTTGCGCCAATCTGTACTTTTACCCGGAATTTTCTTCTCGGAATATATGGAAAATTTCCTCGGTAGAGTTTCCCGCCAAGCATATAAACACGAGAAATCACCGTGTCTATTTACTGGAAATGATCATCCTTCAACAGTCGTGATAAAAATCAAACTCTTATTGAATCTGTTATCTCGTGTACTCACTGCAAATGTTTAAGCTTGCCGAGATTATATGAGATTTTCAATTTTTTATTGCGAATTGAGAACACCGTAGAATAACATTTTTATTACGTCCCCAGTAGCACAGAATAATTTCTAAGTATTTATTTGTAATCTTTGCTGAATATCTCAAGCGAGAGATTTTTTAAGATGTCTTGCAGATTTCATTCGAAGATATCTGAAAGATTTGTTGGAAATCTCAATGACATATTTAGTTTTAATAATTTATAAAAATATATATAGAAATTATATTTTATTATTTATGAACATATGATGAAAATACATTTTTTCATTCACGATTATTATCGGACTCTTCATTTGGTATCGAAGAACGCCACAAATTATTGTAATATTATTATATTCGTTTCATTATTTCATTATGGGAGCAAAACGTGTCATTTTGATTTCAAATATTTTTAAAACATTTATAATGTATTCGGCAGAGAATATTTAAAAAATATTTATATTAAAATGAAACGAAATGTTATGTATATCTATTAGCAAAAAATATTATGATAACACGTAGAGCTAATATTATACAAATATTATAATGATAATAGCCTAAAGTAAAAGTTTTGCAAATATTTCAAATGTCTGTTAAATATATACAAAATGAACGATATTCGTTAAATATATAGAAAGTATAGGACAAATATTTTGTGCTACTAGGGATAGGTGTGTGTGTGTGTGTGGCAGTTTCATTATCTTATTATGCAGTTCTCTATTTTCGTCTCACTTTTTTCTTGTTCTTCAATCTTTTAATAGCAATCGTTTAACACGATTAATATTCAGAGCGTAAGAATACATTTTATTTTCAGCATCCTTTTTTCTGCTTCTCGAGTTTGAAAATGTCAGTGTTCAGGGTGTTGGAAAATTCATTCAAGATACGGTTAGGGTGCGTTGGCGTTTATTAATTAATATCAACAAATTTAAACAGGCTCTACTATTAACTTCAAATTATAAATAGATATTCCACCCTCGTTAATTCAATACTTCTGAAATATCATGTAATTAGTAAATTGTATTATGCCGGTATGGTATGCATTGAAAATGTTTTTAATTTTTGCGTATTTATTTCCTTACCTGTTTCAATTTTAATTCAAAACACTCATTTTTTATCTTTCTTGTCTATGCTTTACGAGTTTTACGAGTGCCACGAATGAATGAGTCATGCTCTTTCTTTTCTGTTTCTACCCTTCTTCTTGTTGTCATTGCAAAAAACTGATAGGGTTGAGTACATCGCATAATCAATATTAAATATATGTGAGAAGCGCTGAAGTGCATTAATTCCTAGACATTAGATCGATGCGGTTGACCCTTTCTTACGCTTTGTTTCGGTGAATTAATTTTCTTGAAAAATTATATAAAGAAATGTCTTTTATCGCATTAACTTGGTTCTGGTGGAATATCGTGATTGATTAGAAGCCACTATCGATTGTAATTTTACAAATTACGTAATATCGCATCCGTAAATAAATTTCTGTTCCACATTGAATATAATCTGCATGCTCCATTACCATAAATAACACGAGTAGTACACCAGCAGACAATAACAATTGCGGGGAATATTCAAATGTTCAACGATCAACATTAATAAAAAGTGCCCTCGTACAGATAATTCCAAACAGACCATAATACTCATATCTTCTCTAATATATTCAAGTAACAGGGTGAAAAATCATAACCCTACCGACGCTTATCTGCTTATCAGCCGAAATTGTTTAAAATTTAACTAGCACTAAGAATAACAAAATTCCAGAACAATTGGAACTGCAAAGACAGTACCCGACTTGTGCTCGAAATGGATTATTCATAATTAAACTATTCAATATGATTTACTGAACACAGGTGATGTGCATATCTTGAACGACCGAAAGAATGAAAATAGAATTTTGAGACATTCTTCGGCGGTTTTCAAAGTGTCCTTAAAACAACTCTGTATCAACATGCACCAGTTAGTGAAATGATTTTTTATTTTTTATTTGACAGGAGCTGGTCTCTACCAACCCTAATCAGAGGAATTGGCGCGGCATTCTGATCGCCCTGCTGGTTATCATAGCAGTCCTAGCCCTTATCGTGACATCCGTTGCTCTGTTGACACCTCCGGACGAAGGTCCGCGAGTCAAGGGTTCCCGCTTAAGACTTTCTGAGGTAAGCCGATGATAATTATCCTGATAATTATCGGGATAAGTAGACGATGGAATTTCAGGTACTCTCCGGGGAATTGACGCCTCTGCTCTTCAACGGTTCCTGGGTCAGCAATAGGCAGATATGTTATCGTGATGGATGGGGTGGGATTTCTTTGCTGGACGCTTCCGACCCCAACGTGACGTCTCAGCTGCTGATGCCTAACGAGACCTTCGTAAGTTCCTTTTTTTTTTCCTCTCTCAAATTAATTCCTCCCCTTTCCCTCTTTTTCCCCATTTCAATTTGGTGCTTCCAGCGCGTGGTGGAATGGCTTAATCGATTACCTGTCACGAGTGAAAGTAATTGATGAAGTAATGGAGTATAATATCGCTTTTACTCTCATTCGGGGGAGGACATGAGTTCGTTGAACGGATAGAGAATGTTTCCTTTTTTTTTTTCGCACGTCAACGAAGGCGCGGTGATATAATTAAGGGTAAATTAGAGATAACTGGGGACGAACGGATTTATTATTTATTAAAGTATGGCGATTAAGGTCGGGTGACGTTCGACAGTTTTCGGGTTTTATGTGGAAATTGTTGTAAACAAGAATAGTTTATCCGGAGGGGTGTTTCACGTAGCACGTGCTTTTAATGTTTGGTATGCGTATACTCAAGATGAGTATCACTTTTTTAATGATATGTCTTTAGACATGTATGGTATTATCATTTATCTTTATCATTTCAGAGGCGATTGAATCCCGCTAAATTCTCCCTATCACCAGATCATAAGTACCTGCTACTCGCACAAAATGTTAAGAAGTTATTCCGGTACTCGTACTTGGCACAATACTCGATTTATGATGTGAAGACAAGGTCAGTATACTCGATAAGTTTCCTTGACATTTCCAACTTAAAAAGATACTCTGCTAAACATATGCCTCATGGAGTACGTACATCCGCGGGACACTTGCTGAATTTATTGTTCAGTCAGTTATATAAACCATCCGGAAAACGAATAACAATTTATCTTAGCAAATGTACTTTCCCAAAAGCCAACGTAGAGAACGTTAACCATGGTTAAATCTTGGGTGGTAAGAGAAAGAATTTCAAATGGTTGAAACTATAAAATCGTAGTACGTTGTTCATGAGCCAATGATAAATGTGATGATAAGAATTTATGAAAGGTATTGTCATATCTGGAAACAAAGTAATTTGAAAGCCCCCAGTTTGATGATTTTATCTGAAAGTACATGTCATGTTAACTTTTTCTTCTATATGAGAAACTTTACATTTAACACGCAACTTGTTAATTGCACGTTGCCTCATATCAGTAGCTGATCGACCTAAATCGATCATCAGGCCGAACCGATGTTTCTGAACACTACAGAAATAAACCATGCGTAGTTGCTTTGGAAATGACCCGACTGCCTAAATACAAAACGGACGTGTTACCATTAACTCGGATGAGCGAAAAGGCAAAAAGAAAGAACATTAGTCGATTTTTAAATCCCTACTAAAGTGTATAAAAATATTCGTGTCTCGCGTACTGACAGTCTTATAATTATCGTCTCACCCATTCACTATCTATAATATATCTCCTTTTTATAACAAACGGTGTAACATGACATTAGTAACCATTAATCTCCTGATACAAACTATCAATCAATTTATAATTTTTAAATACCATTTTAAGACCAATGAAACTCGTAGGAAATCCTGATAGAAAGATGTTTATTCCAATTATGATTCCCAGCGGCGTACATTAATATCGTAGAAATAATACTTAATAAGTTAGACCAGTCATTTTAAGTAGGTAGTTGATTCGGAAGAGTATTAATTAGTGTAAATATAACTTAAATCCGATATAGTTCATTGGAGATTCATTCAGTCGAGGCGTGCTTTCCCGTGGACGAGGGTAATCCTTTCTCCGGGGTCTGGATTTTCCGTATAACGTTTCCATGAAGTCTTAGCTGACATTTCCGTCCTTAGTGTTTCTAGGATGATTTTTAACCCTAGGCCAAACATTTTAGGGAAATCATCCCGCTAACACTGCATCCGGACAAGGACGTTCACCCTTACTTGTTGCTGGCGAAATGGACTCCTCGAGGACACGGTTTGGTAATGGTCCAGGATTACGATATTTATTTCAAGACAGGACCTCAGAACAACGTGGGGTTTCGGGTGACAGATACGGCTGTACCAGGCATCCTGTCAAACGGATTGCCGGATTGGCTCTACGAAGGTAATACGATTTATTAAAATACTTTACGAAGCGAGGCCAAGGTAAAAGAGAAGTGTTTACATGGGAGGATGTACCTCTTTTCCGTTCCAGAAGAGATATTGCACACTGGGGAGGCTATATGGATGTCAAAGGACGGTCTCATGATGTTATACGCTTCCTTCAATGACTCCTTTGTCGAGGAGATGCACATACCCTGGTTCGGGGAAGGAAGTAAGGCACTGTATCCCGATATTCGATCGCTGAGGTACCCCAAGGTATGGAAGTTACCTTCCCACCGGAAATGGGATTCTGGTGTCCGAGAAAGGCCACCTAAAAGACATCTTCTTCCCCTAGTTGCCTCATAACTAGAAGCCAATTATAGTGACAGTCTATTTCCGTGTCTCTATCACGTCTTCACATCCGTAGAGAGATACTCAGAACTCTTATTCGAAGGAGGGATGTAAAATATCTAGATTTAAATGTCGTTAAAGAGTCTCCCTTGCTGTGTGTGTATGTTTTCTGTATAAAGCTTTCAATTAGAATTATAATAATTGCAAATTAGAATAACGTTAATGGGACGTCGATCGAATTTCACGGTATATTTTGGAGTTTCAGGGAATTGTTGGTACTGTAAATTTATTGTTAAGGCCTTTTTGTGCCTTCTGTTTAGGCTCGAAGGATAATCTGTATCTTTCGCGTATTATTTGAAGGAAATATCTAATCGTATAGTTGGTAACTGCACTACAGCAAGATTTGACGAATTTTAAAGAGAATTCGCCTTTTCGCATAAGGGTTGAAAGTTGTAATCTTTGTTATCAGTGAGTCCAACTACCATTGCCAATGTGACTGTATATATTTTCACCATCCCTAATCAACGCTCGATTAACGAGAGAAACAATGGTGACCCTGATTTTACAGCCAGGAACTCCAAACCCTTTGGTACGACTATACGTTGCAGATCTTGCCGATCTAAAGAATATTCATACGAAGGTAGTGAAACCGCCGGCTATCATCGAGCATGTGTGAGTTTGCTTTAATCCGGTTTAGGGTATACTTTAATATAAAAATTAAGCGCGAGGCAAATCTTATACGCAAACGTTAGATCGCACGATGTAAAGCCTCAGTAAATGCACCGACTTATTTCTCCTTGTTAAAAGTCTTGCACCTCTTATGGGCCTTTTCACAAGTAGTGTATAAAGTATCCGTAAAGGGAATAGAAACGACTATATTTCAAGAAAAAGTGCAGCCTCGATTCCCGTTAATTTATATGATATCTTTGTACCGAAAAATGCATGATCTTTATTAATTTCTTATAAGTATCAAGGGTTCTTTGCAAAATATATCCCACAAGCGAGATATTAGGTTTTGACTTTTCCGCGCAATTGATAGGAGTCGATTTACACACTAAAGAAGGAATCACAAGTTTGTCTATAAATGAAATATTTTAATATTACCAGGGAGCACTACTTCACCACGGCAGCTTGGGTCTCTTTGACAGAGATTTGCATCACTTGGCTGAATCGCGCTCAGAATCTCTCTGTGGTGACAATCTGCAAGAGTCCATTGTGGCACTGTCAGGTTGGTTGAGTCTACTTCGATTTTTGATATTCTTTTTAAATTAATATTCAATTGGAAATTATATAATTTATGAAATATGGCTTTTTTATTAATTATTTGTTTATTAAATAATATTTATTTACAATTATAATTACAATTGATTACAATAATACAATACTACTAATACAATAATAATACATATAATTACAATTATAATTATTATTTTAATATAAACCAATAAATAAATAAATTAAAATATTAAATAAAAAATAATGAAAAATGAAAATTATACCTAGACTTAGGAGAATAATAAGAAATGTCGGTAAGAATTATTTGATTAAAGAATTATTTTTTCCTTCCCTGCCGCAGGAAATGCAACGGATATCCGGCGAAGACCGTGGATGGGTCGACACTCCGCCGGAATCGCCACTATTTTCTTCCAATGGTGCCAGTTACATCGCCATTGCACCTGCAAGGGATGGCCCAGCTGGTTACTATAAGCACATAGTTTACGTTAATGTCCTGCGAAATCAGGTGGTACCTCTTACACACGGAAGATTCGAGGTTACGAGAATACTCGCGTGGGACCAAGCAAATAATACTATGTGAGCATACACCTTCTGCATTTACATTGAACGAAATTAAATATTAAATTGATTGCACATCATCGCGTCTAACGATCTCTTAACCCTTAGCGCTCCGTTGGCTCCGCTACGGAGACATTCGTCATAACGTTCCGAAACTTGCGGAGCGCTAAGGGTTAATGTTAATAAATAACATTGAGGTAATTTTTAGAGGTTTTCAGGTACCTTTAAAAAGTACCTGAGTTTCAGGTACGCATTAAAATGTTTCAGGTACTTTTTAGAGATACCTGAAAATCTCTAAAAAGTACCTGAAAACGTTTAGTGAAAGTACCTGAGGCATATTAAAAGGTACCTGAAATTCAGGTACTTTGTAAACGTACCTGAAAACCTCTAAAAAGTACTTGAAAACGTTTAGTAAAAGTACTTGATTTTGAAGAACCCTTTAAAATGCTTCAGGTACCTGTAATAAAGGTTTTTAGGTAGTTCTTAGATATTTTCAGGTGCATTTATAAAGTACCTGATTGTCAGTTACGCATTAAAATGCCTCGCGTACCGTTACTAAACGTTTTCAGGTACGTTTTAGAGATTTTCAGATATGCATTAAAATGTTTCAGGTACTTTTAAAGGTACTTGAAAATCTCTGAAAAGTACCTGATAACCTTTAGTAAAAGTACCTGAAGTAAGTAAGCAAAGGTACCGCGCTTCCCGCGTTCATACGTACATGCGTCTGAAAAGTTGAGTGCGCCGTCAGTGTCCGTATCGTTCAAATGTACTGGGTTTTTTCGACATGAAATCTGAAGAGCGCGAAAGCGGAGCGAGGGACTCAAACGGTTAAGATTACTTTTAGTGGTACAAAAAAGACTTGTTAGTATACCATTTAAGATGTATGTCGCGGTATTTGCGAAATTCCTATGAATTCCATTGCAGATACTTTATCGGGATACCGCAGTCGAAGCCAGGCCAACGTCACCTGTACCGCGTGAGTTCGATCCTGCCCCACGTGGGTTCGTCATTGCACGAGGCCGTCTGCATAACATGTACAGTACCTGCTACCAAACCCGAGGCTCATTACATGTCATCGGATGGTCAAGTGCCGGCTCACACGGGGTCCACGAATCGCTACAGTACCTGGGCAGATAAAACCGACTGGAGCGAGCAGTACGAGGCCCAGGACACCTCGAAGAAGGAGCAGCAGCGGGTCTCGAGTCCCCGTAAAAAAGACAAGGGAAAGACTAGGGTCAGTTCGAGTGAGTATGTCCGATGACTGCGAACCCGTCTCGGCCCGAGGCAGCCTGCTTTTACCTCGTTAATGGCATAAGTGACCTTCGTCGAGGAGTTATTTCCACACACGATTCCCTTACGAGGAGAGAGATTGAGAGAGGGAGAGAGTACCGTGCCTTTCCCTCCTACCGGAGAAATCCGACCCTCTAAGACGAACCGAGGGAGCACTCCGTCACTCGTCACCATCTCTCACACATACACACACGCGCATCGGTTTATAATTATGTTTTATATACATATACCTAGATCTAGCCACACGTAGATGAGACCTCTTTGGTTGTACGACACACACGTAGACACGGAACGGCGATGCATTATCCTCCTCGACCTGTCCTTGGAGGTGCTCAAGCTTCCAGAGGGAGATTCGTCCTTCCGATCGACTATCGGGGACGGATCTTCATTTAAGAGCCTGATACCGAGTCTTCGTTATACACCGGATCGGGATTTATAAGCACAGGGTCGATGCTCTTCAGGTAGAAATCTTGAGGAATTAAGGTGGTATCAAAGTGTGATATGTACGTACCAAAAAGTTAAAATATTCATAAAACTTTTCTCCAAACTGGGTGCACCAAATTATCTGAAGCACGTGATTGTGGAGGCTCTAAGGAAGAACGCGCTGCCCGTGAAATTACATTTTTCGAGAAAGAAATATCTTTTTTTCGTTCTTGTTCGAGATAAGTACAAAATTTAAATTTAAATTGTAAATTTTTTAATTGAAAGAAAAAAAGAAATTTCATGAGCAGCGCGTTATTCCTTGGAGCCTCCATAATAACGTGTTAAGGTTTCAGATAATTCGGTGCAACCAGTTTGGAGATAAGTTTTATAAATATTTTCACTTTGTGGTGTGTATATATCACACTTTCATGACACCTTAAGTGGGAGGTGTATGGTTGGCCCTTCCTCTTCAAATTAACCTCAAGCTGTCCTCGACTGCTTTTTGATGTATAAGAATAAAGATAAATGTAATATTCATAAAGGGTCGTTTCCTAAAAATGTTTTAGAAATGAGTTTTAGAGTTTAAATGTGAACGTAACGTGGTTTACCGTCCGTCGCGATTTTCTGTAATGCAGTTCACTTCACAGATAATCTGGTACGCGATATTCCACTCAGTAATTTGATATGCCATCGAGTAATCGTTTTTATCACGGTGGATTAAATCGATTGGCTGTGCATTATAGATTCATCGTAATTTTATGTGCCGGTCGAAGACGAGGTATTGGCTGGGCAATAGCTGCATTTCCTATCGATGACGTAGGGGCAACTTTTTTTGCTAGAACCGACTCTTTTGCACCGGATGTCAAGCCGCATGCAAATCAAAGTCTACCCGAGAACAGTAGTTTGCACCCCTCACCGTAGTACGATCAAGTAAAACTGCGCTTGTTGCCATTTTAATATATCCCTGTATTAGGTACCTTTTGATTTCTTACCTTCCATATAAGGGATACGTCTCAATAAAAGCTTCTCGAAAGTCACGTCACATACTAAGTAGCATCGCTAGAGTAGCTAAGGTAGTTGCTTTAAAGATCGAGAAATTTGGCATACCCTTTTGAGATAGGTACCTAGAAGAATGTTATGCTTGTTGCACAGGTAGTTTAGCTTTACGTATTGTTCGTCGATTTTCATAGTGTTCTACAAACTAGCTGCTTCTACATGCGAGTTTAACAGTAGTAGAGACGCGGAGCTGCAAGTTTGTACTTCAGATTTTTCGAAGTTTCGATTATTTCGTACCACACATTCATACATTTTATTATTTACACGTGTCATTTCGTTGTAAGTGATATGTTATTCCATAAAATGTGGCTAGTGTGATCAAATCTCGCAGGAATTACATTGCTGAAAGAGGTTACAAGTGGCGAATCTCGATATGGCATTGTTTTAAAATAAGTATTCTATAATTAAATGGTACGTGCTTTTAGTATTCCAAAAACATCTTAAAACTTAATGATATTCAAATTTTTAGATGAACTAGGATAGCTTTTATCATTTCTTTTCGTGGCATCTTACATTTTTTATTTTCTGTTAAATTAGAAGTACAAGTAAATTGGCTTGGAACTCCATTGAGTATCTTGATAGGAATATATTGTATATGGAATTTTAATTGGAGTATTGGGACGTATCACTTGTAACGGGGTAGGTACAATAGCAAAACGATTTTTCATTCCCAAATCCTTTGGGTCCTAGCTCGATCTTTACCTTGTATGAGTTCGATCGATGATCGAAAGGTATGATTGAGGGACGGTTCGTTAGATTTTCAATCCTTGTCGAGGAAACAAATTCGCATTTGTATGCTTCGACAAGACAGGTTTATGTTTCCTGATATTAGAGAGATTCTTATAAAAGGGGAACGACTTGATCTTGCCACAACGCTTTACTCATTTCTGCGAGATAAAGTAGGCATACAATTAGGTTTTTGTCGAAAAGAAACTAAAGAGACTGTAAAAGTACATAAATATCAAAAATATGCTGCACAGCAATGTACAAAACAACATCAGTCCCCATTTTGAATGCGTGGAACATAGAAATGTCAAAACAGTAAATAAGCATAATACATTATATTCAATTACCCACTATCAATTATTGCTACAGGAATAAAACATTCTGCGTGCGTGTAATTCCCGATATCTATTATGAGTTTAACATTGCACATTGCACCTTACAATCTTGTATTACGACGACGTGGCGTCGAACATACATGCCGATTTAAACATTATTAGTGATACTTAGACCATCTGAACATTGTCTGACAGTTAATGTCCTCAATGCTGACGTTCTCTGCAATGAAAAACAGTTTTTAAGGACTATATTTCTGTATTAGGATATTTATCTCGAAGAAACGAGGAAAGCAAGATGGCGGATCGAGGGATGACATTCTTCTAAATAAGAACCGCTCTGTTCGACTCTAGCACACATTCCATCACCCATGACAGTTGAGTTAGACTGCGTGACATCCTCCCACGTCCTCTTATCGTAGAGATTTCTTAACAGCTGGCTTTATTGGAAACCGCAGTCCCAGCAGGCAATAAAAGTGACGGCGGGTCCGATGTGCGGCACTCCCTCTTATTCGTACCTAATATTGCCGTCTTGCGTATGACAGTGACGACAGTGATGGACGGCCACACGTAATCAGGTAGAGACGGTATATGAAAGCTTTTCTGTTAGCTCAAGTTACATGCTCTGTTTACACAATGGCTCAAGAACGTGTGCGTGTGCTGCGTGTGTGTATGTGCCAAGGAACCAAGGGAGGACGGAGAGCGTGTGGTGTGCGTGCCGCGGCAGAAAGGCGGAGATATCAACCGAGAATCGTTCCTTAGGTTTCCAAGAAAATCCCGAAAATCTTTCCCCGAACGGAGGAAAGCGAATGGGGGAATTTTCTCGGGGTTAAATCGACCCGAATTTCCGTATGAAAGATGTGGGACGTGAAAGGGACGCTCAAAATGGGGCGCCGAAGAACTCAGGATTTCCAAGATGGCCGCCGTCTGCGCGTCTCCCTTCGCTGTTGGTGGCGCGCGGCTTAATGAATCTTGTAAATTTAGAGCGATTCCTGATAAAGGCATATTGCTGGTTCAGTTGGAATATGGTCTTGGGGGAATGGAAAGGGATATTTAATTATTTAACCTGTTAATTAACTTTCAACGTGTGTACACGTCTGTAGCCCGATCGTTACAGTAAATTCTGCAGTTAACAGGTTAAAATGTTTTCAAGGTACTTTATCGTAAAAGAAATTTCCGTAGCGTGGGTGTAAGGTATGTAAAGAAGCAATTTTTTTATATTACATGCAATGGACATTGGGTTAGAGATATGAACGTTCGAAAACTTAGGGTTATGTTTCTTAAACAATGATTAGGATTGTGAAGAAAAATTGATTAAACGAGTAAAGGGGAATTTAGCACAAGGAACTTTTTCTCTTCTCCCGAGTGAAAATACCCAGATAGAAATTCATGATCATCGTGGCATGAGGAAAATCGAATTACAAACAATTTACACCAGTATTTGCTGCATGAAATGTCTGCAATATATGTACACGTATTAGACAATAAATTCGAAGAAACATTTGAGGTAAATTTGTCACCCCATGACTCAAATAATAGCTACGGATGCTGCAATTGTTTATCGGCAATACGTGAGATAAATTTAGCTGTACATATGCGGACAAACATTGAGACATTGCACGTACTTAACTTTGTTTCATATATAAGTATTTCTGGTTCGTCATTGCATCCTGCAGATATGAGTTCCAAATGAGGAGTTCAACGCCTTCGTGACGCATTTCATGATCTTTAATGAGGGGAATTTCATGCAATTTTTGCATTTCTCTCTCTATCTGGGTACATTGCCTTTGAGGCAGGAATTGCTCTGGATTTATGATATTCGTTGACAGCGAAAGGTAAACCCGCAAGCGGACAAAAGACGGAAACTCGAGATTCTCCGCTTGCAAAGAACATCGTCTTTCGGGCTTTCACCGTTTAGGATCCTTATCACTCGGGCTGTTATCTGTGCCCCCAGGGAAGAAAAGGGTGGGCTTTCCCAAGATTAAATTGGCCGGAATCTCTGTTTCGTCGGAGACGCGCGGTAGCCGAGAGGGATGTTAAGATATCGTTTACCCCACGTTGTACATACCAACTGTATAAGATCTATCTTACAGCTCTTCACCTCCTGGTCTTGCAAGTTTCAGTCCCGTTTTTCGCACCTGCACTCGCTCCCTTCCCTTGACGTGCATGCGGTCTGACGACATTCTAGAATCATTCACCATCTCTCTTTTGTGTACACCCGTGTACGTGTAATGTCTCCTCTAGTCGAGTATGTGCCTGAAGGGAATGGATTTTTGTCAAACTGAACTTTGTTTTCAGCGCACGTGGAATTCATTCTTGCGATATTTTATGTCTTATCGTATTATCAATATTTGGATACAAAGAGAAATTGTTTGCAACATAGATCTTGGTACATAAATCGATAAGACAGTATATCATTTTAAACGCACGTGGGACTCATTCGTGCGATATTTTGTCTTATACCATAGTATTATCAATACTTGCATACAAAGGGAAATTGTTTGCAACATAGATGTTGGTACATAAATCGATAAGAGAGTATATCATTTTAAACGCACGTGGAACTTATTCGTGCGATACTTTATGGCTCACAGTATTATTAATACTTGCATACAAAAAGAAATTGTTTGCAACATATAGGCATTTAAAGATAAACGTCGGTTATAAAAAAAATAATTTCACTGCGTCGAATGCGAAATAAATGTGCATTCGCATTTACTGTATTTATTGTAGAGTATATCTTTACTTTCGTCGGTACATATTCTGGGTTAAATTAATTGGCTACTGAACTTTGTTAACTAGTTCGTGCAGCCAGTGAAAGTTCAAGTCATCTAAATTCATGCAGTAATTATAACTAGAAGCAAGAGCGATAACATGCACATGCGTTTGGAAATAATTCATGTCGCATTGCGCACGGAGAGAATAATTTCATAAATAATTATACTATTTAGAGGCAACAGGAATATATAAATATGAATGATAAGCAGCTTTGGCTGTGGTTTTCATTTAATTTATGATATTATTAATTGCTATCTACGTGTCTATTCTCACATTTTTCAATATGCTGCTTTTTTAAACGGCTGATGTGATACTTGTTACACAAAACATGTTCATCGTGCAAAATAATGAAAAATGGCACTATATCACTGATTTTCGTTTTGAAAGTCAATGTACATACACATATTTGGTTAAGCACATTACACGATCAAAGATGTATATCATATGATTATACATTACGCTGTTAGTACAGGATTGTTTATAAATTAAAAATGTAAAAGTCTGAATGACTTAAGTTGGAAGAATTTGTGGAATATTCAATGTTCTAGTTAGATTTACCCAGACTTTCAGGAACGATTAATTACGTTAATAATTAGGAAAAGTGGATCGTTATAGGAATTAGTTATCTGTCAAAATACTAGAGCTTAAATATCTGCACTTCGAATGCAAACATTTCCACCATTTCCATTTTATACAAAGCATCAGGAGTTTTACATTATTACATATACGGAATAATAAATCTTACTTTTATTAGAAAAGCGTAAGATCATTTAATCTCGAGACAAATAATTTCTAAATGTCTACATTCCTGGCGAAGTAGAAATGAAAAACACTCACTTGATGTAAAATGGTGTTTGCTTTGAATTTGTATAAAATTATTTCCAACGCATCTCTTGGAATGTGCATCGCATGCGAGTGTATTTTTGCGAATAAATAAATGTAGTCTCAGTAGAGAAACTTTATCGTAAGTGTAAGCATTAGTATCTTTAATAAACAACGATGCAACTCTTTTTAGAAAAAGGAAGAGTAAGTTTAACAAAAGCATTAAGCCACTCTTTAATCAAACTGGATTATATAGATATAAAAATCCTTCGGGCATCGTGTTATCGATATAATATTTCATTTCAACTATGAGAAATCAATGGATTTATATCGTAGATGCTACCTGACATTGACATCTATGAAATTGCATTACGGAATTAATATTTCTTTTTTCCTCAATAGCTTTACACGAAATGCAATTATGAAACATCATGAATGTAACAATAAAACTGTATGATGTTCTATGAAATTGATTAGGTGTTACTAATTCTAAGGTGTACAAAGAGAATTCTTTTCGACAATTCGTAAAAATGCAATTCGTCTTCGTGCTGTTCCTCAGACGTATTGGTTCGATGTCTAATTTTGATTCCACGTGAAAACGGCATGAATCTTTCGGACTATTGATTGTACACACATGGCGCTTCTCAATGTTTGTGTACGGAGTGCTATTCGAATATGTGTCATGTACGGGGCTGTGTGGACGTATGAAAATGATATCAGGGACGACGAAATATTTTTTTTTTGTTAAACTTCTCAATACTTTCCTTTTCAGAAGCTCCAGAGCCTTGTCAGTATCACAGTGCGGTGTTTTCTTCAGAACTGGAATACTTCGTTCTGGAATGTTTGGGTCCTGGAATTCCGACGGTTGCACTTTACAAGACCGACATTCCAGAACCGCGATTCATTATCCTCCTCCAAAACAATACGGCACTCCGTGTAAGTACCTCTCCTTAACCCTTTGAACACGGAGCTATTTCGACATATGGGCGAAATTCGTCTGACCGTGCAGGCAATATTGGACCAAACGTCCGGCGCCTTTAGGCGCTCTTAGTAGCCAAAGGGTTAACAGCTTTTAGTAACGGAAAAATCATTGTACCTAGGTCGAAACCTAATGCGTCATTTTTAATAGCGAGAACGAACCGATAATTAATGTATATGGACTCTTTTCTTTTAGGAAAAGGTTAACAAGATAGCTCTTCCGCAAGTGAAAACCTTCCCGGTTCAGATAAGCGGTGGTTACAATGCACAAGTCAGATTACATCTTCCACCTGGGTTGCGAGAAGATGAAATCACTCGTTACCCGATGGTCGTTCAAGTGTAAGTCACCCTTAAAAAAGTTGATCATGTTCATACGCTCCCTACTTTAAATTAAAACAGGCTCTTAGAACACGTGGTCATGCTGAGACTGAAATATTCCATCTTGGAGGCATAAAGTACTTTTCAACTACGAATAAAAATTCAGATAAATCTTTGAAGAATTAAAAAAAAAAAATAGATTCAACAGACAGAGATATTTAACGTTGCGCGATTAATGTCTTACATAGACAATGGGTGAAAAATTTGCATGAAATTTGCCTCGTAAAAGATCATGAAACGAGTCATGAGAGCGTTGCTTATGAATCCTCATTTGGGACTCATATCTACAGGACAGAATGACGAACCAAATATATTGAAATATGAAACAAAGTTAAATGCATGCGATGTCTCAATGTTTGTCCGCATATGTACAGCTAAAGTTATCTCACGCATTGCTCATGAACAATTGCAGGGTCTGTAGCTCATACTTAAATCATGGCGTAATGGAAACGGGAGTATGCAGCAACGTCATATTTAGCTCACATTAGTAGCATACTAACTTCGTACAATGTCCTCCTATTAAATTTCCATATATTTTCAGTTGATGAATCTTATGTTAATGTTATGTTATGGCATATCTGGCATAAGACTCAAGTATGCGGTAAATGTATTGCTGCACCCATTTATGACAAGTTTACCGGAAGTTTTTCTGCAAATTTATTGTACAATATGCGTACACATATTGCAGACATTTCATGTAGCAATTGGTCGGCAGATTGCTTGTAAATCGATTTTCCTCATCATACGGTGCTCATGAATTTCTATCTGGGGTCATATGTAGTTATATTGGGTGAAATTGCTCATTTTTTTCGCAGATATGGTGCTCCAGGGTCGCAGCTGGTCACGGAGATGTTCAAGATCGATTGGAACACTTACTTGGCCAGCAGGAAGAGCATGATAGTTGCCCAAATCGATGGCAGAGGCACTGGGGGTCAAGGTTACAAGCTCCTCCACGAAGTGTACTATAGACTTGGCTCGGTCGAAGTCGCTGACCAACTGGAAGTCACAGAGTAATTGACGCATTAATTATTAGTATAAAGCTTCCAGCTCAAGTGTTGCGGCGGACAAATCTACCACATTTGTCCTGTTCTTGACAAAATTACAGATACTTAAGGGATTCTCTACATTTCGTGGACAAACGACGTGTCGCAGTTTGGGGCTGGAGTTATGGCGGTTTCGTTGCTGCCCTCGTTTTAGCTCAACCAGAACAAGACGTGTTCCAGTGCGGCATTAGTGTGGCACCAGTGGTTTCTTGGAAGCTATATGGTATTTTAATTTTTAAAATTACTTATTCGCAATACTGCATCGTCTCGCAAAGTTAGATAAATCTATGCAGGCATCATGACCCCACGCAAAAAAAAAACGATCGATTAATTCCCATAGACATTTCTTGCAATTAGCAGATTTTCTGTCAGGTCAGGAAAATCATAGTGCAAGTTGTAGATTTGTGGCACCTGTGCTTACTTGTAAGCTTTACGGTATTTTAATTTTTTTAATCAATTATTCGGGATATTCCACCGTATCGCAAAGTCAGATAAATCTATAAAGGCATCATGACTCCGCGTAAAAAATGTTGGATTAATTCTCGTTGACATTTGTTGCAATTAGCAGATGTTTCCGCGTAATCGGGAGAATCATACCGCAACTTGTAGATTTCATTTGAAATTCCTCTTGTAGATATAGACTGTTACTGTACACAGATTAATCGAATTAATTTCAACTTGGCTCCGTTTACAGATTCTGCGTACGCGGAAAGGTACATGGGATTGCCAAACGTAACTTCCAATTACAAGGGATACGCGGAGTCCGACGTCTACGAGAAAGTAGAATTCCTTCGCAATAAAATGTTCTACCTGGTGCATGGCACTGCGGATGACAATGTTCAATTTCAGCAGTCGATGGCATTAGCTCGACATCTTGCCAAGAAGGGTATACTGTTTCGACAACAGGTACGATTAGGAAATATTCCATTATTATATAGAGCCAAAGATTTCATATAAAAAAATAAGGAGAAATGAAAATGTTTCAAACAGTCCCAAGTTCACTTAGCGCAGCAGCGAGTATGTATATGTATATATAACGTAAAATATTAACATAATTATAACGCGTCATAAGTGAACAGGCCATTGTCATAGAATCTCGTATATCAACAGATTGAAAATGAGACATTTTCCCTGGCACGATAATTCTTTCTAATTACCTAATTTAATTCTATTTAATTAGAGTTTCCTTACGCATAATAGGGAATTAATTGTGAAAATTGGCATTTCAGGTATACCCGGATGTTAGCCACAGCTTGGCAGGTGTCAAAGGACACCTGTACCTCTCAATGGCTCAGTTTCTTGATGACTGCTTTCAAAAGCAAGTACCTGTCGACACCAAAGCTGGATTAGGCAGCGGCGGTTACGGGATCTAGTGGGAGCTACGTGATACTACAGAATAAAAAAAAGAAAAAAAAAAGAGATTAAGAAACCTTAGCAAGGCGGAAGATAATGTACATGGCAAAATGCAATCTAAATATCTCCAAATTGTGTTCTGTTTAATAGAATATTTACAGGAAAAAAAGAAAGAAAAAAGAAAAGAAAACGTGAGAAAAAGGGTGGCTCTCGTATATCACTTTTCGAACCCTACTCCCACGATCCCTGATTCTAGTGCGAGTCACTTCGACCGGAGTTGGGGGTGAGCGAGAGATTTATTTAATAACTACCTGAATCCTTACAATTTGTTTTCGAGTAACGATTACTTCCTGTCGGGCCACCGAGTTCACCGGTGCGACATAAATTATTCAGTGCTGGCTTTCAGATTACGGAAACCACGTAACAATTAATTCTAGAGCTAATGCCGGAGACGGGACAATCGCTTTAAGGGGATGTGAAAGGTGACATCTGAAAGATCAATTGTTCATAAAACTTTTCTACAAACTGGGTATACCGAGTCCTTTCAAAGTACACAACGTAAACATTTAGGCCATAAGGAAGGTTTTGTCCCCCGTGAAATTTCATTTTTTTAATACAAATTTAAAATATGTCTATAAATAAATGTTTAAAAAATTGATACTTCGTGGGTGTCAAGACTTACCTTGTAGCCTCCATGTTCACATTGTTAAGTTTGAAACGACTCGGTACATTGTTCGGAGAAGAGTTTCATAAACGAGATCTCTTTGACGGCGCTTTCATATCACCTTAAAGGGAACCACGTGGAAAGTTTATGCAAAGTATGATAAAAACGATTGCGTATGGTACACTGACTTAACGTTAACGTCGTGGACACCGAAGTAATTACACTCGAGGGAATTACGCAAGGCACTAAGATCGTTTGATTGTTAAGCTCGTTACCGCTCTCGAACTGAATAGACTTATTGTAGTTACACTGACAGCGAGTTTTCTTGACACTCGGGTCTTCTTGGCATCTGTCAAGAGGACGCTCGTAGAACTTTGCGAAGCCGTCGAATAGCTGAGTCTACGAAGTCCGATGGCTGCAGAGAGTCCTTCGCTATATCTGTAATCAACGGTTGAACGTTATCACCTTTCCTTTTGTATAAAATTGTACAGAGGTTACGGTTACCTTTTAACTAGCGTGTAAAGGTGTGCTAATTCATACATACAATGTACGATACACATAGTCATAATGATCTTTTTCTATGAGATGCGATTTTTAATCCGTAAGTCGTGACAAATCAATTAGCGGTGAGTTATAGGAACGTGGGAAGGTGTAACTATCGAAAATCTAGTTTTCCAGGTGGCTCGCTTTAGGATTTGTTAACTAATGTCTAATGGAGTAACGAGGAGAGATGTTTATTCTAATTGTCGTTCTCGCGTTAAAAAGTATCTCCTCCAAGTTCGTATTACTATGACATTTGATATTAGCGGATGCGTAGAATTGATAATTGTATTAATAGCTGTTTAACATTCCCGTAGAATAATATTTTACTGTTCGTATAGAAAGACCCGGCAATCACTGGACATTGAAACGTAGAGGAAGATAATGAAATGATCATTGTTTTTCCACCGTCATTTAATATTTTATACTAGGATTAATGCTCTGTCACTTTTACTCCGCGTTGATGACTTTTTTTTTGTAATTAAGAAATAGAGATTGTGCGCTAAGCTCCCTATTGCCATTCATAAGTTTTATCATCTATTAGTAAATTTAATGCACGTTGTTTAGTGTCAAATTAGACGTGCATTGCGATAGATGTACACAGGACGGAGGCACAAATATTAATTGGATAAGTATGTTGACCTCATAATGTAGAGTAATAATTAAGAACATGCGAGACACGTTAGTGATATTAAATAAATTGATCACTTGAGAAACAGCCTATGTAGATAACAAATCTCTATTTTAAACAATTCGAAATATCTCTTTTAATTCTGATTATATGAAATAAGGATACCATAGCGAGAACTTTATCTTTTTACTCATTTCAGCTCTCATATGTTAGTTTTTTCTCTTCGGCACATAAGTGTAAAGTTATGTTCATGTCCTGTAATAGTGTAGTATTTCTTTCTGAAATAAATTATATTTCCCCGTAATTTTTCAACACTTAATTCACAAAATAGTTAGCAAAAAAGTATCTATAAGGTGTTTTTGTTACATTCTTTGGATTACTAGTTTTTACAGGCATTTTACAAGTACTTATGCTATACAATAAAGGCTGTTTCTCAAGGAATTCGTTTTTTATCTATTTCTTTTTCAAACTATTGATTGTACACAATTCTTTCCAAACAAAACCAGCTTACTCGCCTTAGATAGATTAAGTCTTAAATAAATAGATATCCTTCACATTGCTTTGATAAGACGGAAACTTGTGCTTAGAATAAAAGTCTTTCAATTTACAGAAAAAATTGGGGAAAAAAAAAAGACTCGAGCTATTTCAGAAACGGCGAAAATGGTGAATAATGGTTGTGAACCATTTTAGTAAGAAATAAGAGAGTATTTAATAATAATTACTTGCGATAAATAGAATGAGCTGTGAAGGTAGCAGTATCGTATGTGTAACACCGACCCGTCCAACATTCTTGGCCAGCTTATTCGTCTTACGCAGATTACGTTTCAAATAAATAAATAATCCCCTTACATCCCTTGGCTAAAAAACGAAGACAAGATCTATGGTACTTTTTTCCGGAACGATTTCTTTCAGTTGCATGACGCAGTACTAGTTTGAAAAAAGCCACTCAAATTAGAAACAAAAATAATTCACGCGTCTCGAAAACAGCTGTTTTCAGAAAAGACTGCAAATCGATTCAATAAGAATAAGAATTATTTAAAAAAACAAATTTCTATGTTAAAGGGGACATGCATTCAAGACTTTATTATAGCATCTAACTCAAACTACTTAGTACTTGATATAAAACTCAAATTATAAGCAAAAGTAATTCACGCGTTTCGGAAAGAGCTATCTTCAGAAAAGACTGAAAATCGATTCAATAAGATAAAGGATGATTTAAAAAGATAACTATAACATATTCCTGTGTTAGCACTAGAACGACCGGCAGATTTCTTTTTCGTATAAGATGATTTTGTTCGTATAGTAATTTGCTGTAAAATAAAACTACGTAAATTACTTAGCGAACTTGCTTACCCGATCCTGGTCCCGAGTAGAGTCACAAATCGGGCAGGGACTTGATGAACTTCTTGTTGGAGCACCTTCCCAGGTGTAAAAGCATGTGATTCTTGAGATTGGTCGGTTTGCTGAACCCCCTGCTGCAGATATGACACCTGAAGGGCCAAAGCCCGTTGTGGACGTACATGTGACTCTTGAGATCGCCAGGCGTAGGGAACGACTTGGAGCACTGGGAGCATTTGTGCGGTTTTTCCTGCAGATAAGGTAAAAAAGAGGAGTCGTAATACCGTTCGCCATTACGCGAATTGACGAGCGGTCATAATTCCCGTCGTCTTGTCGCCCGGCGAACGATTAGGTATGACTCCGAGATGGCAGTTTAAATAAATCATCCCTCTAAAACCAAAACCGGGGCTCTCTGGGCTCGTTAGGTCGCCCGTAAACCTCGTCCCGTGTGTACGGGTTTTCTGGTACCGGTATGAGTGCAATACGCGGTGTACGGCAATGCCCGCGTAATAACGCGCAGAAATTGTAGCCTATGAAAAACCGGATCGAGGGTGTTGAAGGAAAAGCGGTTACTCGCGGTTAAATCTCCATCTTTTAATCCCCCAAGACCTGGACGCGTATTAAATAATCCTGTTAGTGCTGTGATCGATTTAGCATTTTTAATCCGGCTTTATTGCGCGACGCGTTAAATGTGTTTTAATATTAAGACTTGATGAATTGCGGGGTGAGAGGCGGTTCGATCGGTTTCATCGCTTCTGTCGATGAACCGAGCCGGAAGACGGACATTTTCTGGAGGAAACGAGTTTTCTCCACGGACTTGCTCGATCGCGAAATTAAATGTACTCTCTTTTATCAATTTCTACGGTCTAGGGAGAATGTTAGTTTGTGTTACTCGCAAATTTCAGGGTTGACTACTTCTTCCATTTTTGTTCCTTTCTTTCTCTTTTGAATGAAATTTAATTAAAAAATATGTTACGGGAGTTGAGAGCGGATTAAGTTAATGGATTGATTGTTTAAGATGATTCGGTGTTATAAATTATGTTTTATCGAAAACTGTGCGCGAAATTGAATGTACTCTCTTTTATCAATTTCTACGGTCTAGGGAGAATGTTAGTTTGTGTTACTCGCAAATTTCAGGGTTGACTACTTCTTCCATTTTTGTTCCTTTCTTTCTCTTTTGAATGAAATTTAATTAAAAAATATGTTACGGGAGTTGAGAGCGGATTAAGTTAATGGATTGATTGTTTAAGATGATTCGGTGTTATAAATTATGTTTTATCGGGAGCTGATTCTACGTAATAGCGGAGGAAAACGGTTGAATGTGAATATTGCAAATTCATTTTCCATAACCAAATAAACTTCCAATACACATTGCGTGAATTTAGTTAAACACTTCCTCACAGCCTGTTAGAAATGTTCGATCCGACACAAAGGACTACTTAACAAATCAAGGAAAACCTCGGGTAACGTAATTAGACATTAATCCACAAAGTTCATACTTAGTTCAAGCCTCATTAACTGAACAATGTCCAACTCCTGAATAAAAATTTCCCCAAGTGAGTAAGACCCGCGATCGTTAACTCACACCTCTTTGCCCTAAGTCCTTCAATTATTACCCACCACTGACACCCGCCATTTATCCGCGTTCGATTAAACATTCTTCTCGAGCAACAGGACACCGAGCGTCTCATTTATCGCGTGCAGGACGAGATCGTCCATTTACAGGATCCTCCGGCAAGGGTCGATTTTTTCCTGGCGGGGCGAATTAAGCGGGTCCGTGTTAAAAAATTATTGCGGATTGGCGTGCACCTTAAGACGCGGGGACGTGAATGAACGCCGTGTATAAGGGAGTCGACGCATGTGCGTGCGCCTTTATGCACGCACGGGCACACACGAGCGGGAGATCCGAGATGCACCTGCCGATAGGACATTCGCAAAAGCGGTTGCTGCGTACACGCCTTACATAAACGACGTGCGTATACGACGTGCGTACACGGGGCGTGTACCTTGCACACAGCCGCGTTTGCGAGTGCTCTCGCAATTGCGCTGCCCAGGTTAGGGTAGTTCGGAATAAATTAACGAATGCTCGCGGACGAGGCGCAGTGATCCGCGGAGCGAAATATCCCAGGGTACACCGACATGTTTACTGGATCTCCTTGCCCGTTAAATCTGATCGCGGACAATCGGATCGCGATCATCCCTTCTTAGGATTTGCATTCTAGACTCCGCAGCTGCGACTCCTCGTAATCCACGTGGGTGTAATGTTTCCCGGCAATACGTAACTCGTAGATCTACCGCGTATGCATGTAGTCTAACATGTCGCGGATCAATTTAACGCTGCTTCCGAATCATCCGATTATTTAACCCTTTTAGTGCCGGGCGAAAAAGAGGTACTTATGCGAAGATAACCGGCCGAATTTTTGGATTTTACTAGGATTTGGAAAAAGGCTCGTAAAGACCAAACGAAAAGCGATATTTACATAATTCAAAAAGCAGGGTATTAAGGACAAAATAGAGAATAAAACGGTGACGCTAATTTTTCTATATTCATTGAAAATTACATAAATAAAGGTATATGTGATCAAAAAGAAAAAGAAAAATTGAGTTCTCTGTTTCAATACGTAATTGCACATAGGAAAAGTCATCTTTTTATCATAAATTTATATAGACCGCTGATTGCAAAGTGTATACTTTAAATTTCCAATATATTTTTTAACAAAATAAGTAATATTGCACAAGAAACATGAGAAATAACTCCAAGGCACATGGTAGGCGACGGACGGATTATCTCATCCGAAACAAGTAATTGTTATAGGTTATAGATTGTTATAGGTAGGTTATAGGTTGTTATAGGTGTTGTTGTATCGTTATTTTAATTCTCTCGTAATGAAATTAGACTATTTATAACGTATTATAAATTTATTTTGAGATAGAGATCTCTCGCAAAGCGAATAGTAATGCGCTACAAGGTGTGGGCCGATATATCGGCTCTGGTACTTTTCGCCAGTGCAGCGAGGGTCGATATATCGGCCTCCGGCACTAAAAGGGTTAAGGGTCATGTTCCTATCTATAGTCCGAGTGAAGTTTCAAATGTATTCTAATACTCTATCGTGTTTTTAACACATTCGCGCTATTCATATTTTACGCACATGCGTGATGGATTATTGCTGAATAGATCTAAGTTGCTTTTTAAATAATGTTTTTAATTCTCATTGTTAGTATAAATCAAATCGCGGTCACTCTTTCTTAAAATTTGCATTCTAAACTTCGCAGCTGCGACTCCTCATAATGCACGTGGGTGTAATGTTTTCTTTTTTTTTAATTTATTGCATTTTGTGGATTTAATGTCCATGTATTTGGTCTTGATATGCTACGAATCAATTGAACGTGGCTTCTGAATTATCGAAAATTGAGGAATAATGTGTAGAGCGATGTCTAACGAAGAACAACAATTCCTGTATCTTTCATTACTAGTCTCCTCGAGAAGTACGACATTTTTGAGGTGCACTTTCTAGAAAAAGAAATCAGATTTCTTTGAGCGATCATTCCGATCGTGAAGCTGTTTAGAATCTTGATTAACAACTCTTCATATATTGACACGGATAGAAAGAAGAACGTGCCTTGGAAAGTGCATTCTTCATCTGCTTAAGACAGACTGTCATTTCACTTTAATTACACTGGAATGACACTTTAAATGGAAACCACACCCTAGAGAGTGCCCCGAGGGGTTATTCACTCGAAAATCACTGAAAACGATTTCCTTCTTTAAGAGCCGATTGCCTTTGATTTCATATGATAAACAATGCGATTCGATATCTTCATCTTCTCTCTTCTCTTCTTCAGATATCACATCTTCCCAAAAGAAAGTACTTCCGCACGTAATCTGCCCTATCACGACACCTTAATGAAAACCACCTCTAGAGATTGCATTCTGAATCTGGATTAGAATCCGCATCTTCATAAATAATCTTTAATAAAATGCGACGCTGGCTTTTTTCATTGGCACCTTTAGAGAGATTCGGGTTTCGCAGGTTCTCCGAAACCTGGACGTACACATGGAGATCCGAATTAAATTAAAATACAATTCAAAGGAACCATATTCTAAATTTGCATTCTACATCTTTCCAAAATAAAGTACCACCGTACGTAATCTGCCCTATCACGACACCTTAATGAAAACCACCTCTAGAGATGGCATTCTGAATTTGGATTAGAATCTGCATCTTCATAAATAATCTTTAATAAAATGCGACGCTGGCTTTTTTCCTTGGCACCTTTAGAGAGATTCGGGTTTCTCAGGTTCTCCGAAACCTGGACGTATACATGGACATCCGAATTAAATTAAAATGCAATTCAAAAGAACCATATACTCAATATGCATTCTACATCTTTCCAAAATAAAGTACCTCCGCACGTAATCTGTCCTATCCCAACACCTTAATGAAAACCACCTCTAGAGATTGCATTCTGAATCTGGATTAGAGTCCGCATCTTCATAAATAATCTTTAATAAAAAGCGACGCTGGCTTTTTTCTTTGGCACCTTTAGAGAGATTCGGGTTTCTCAGGTTCTCCGAAACCTGGACGTATACATGGAGATCCGAATTAAATTAAAATGCAATTCAAAAGAACCATATACTCAATATGCATTCTACATCTTTCCAAAAGAAAATACCTCCGCACGTAATCTGCCCTATCACAACACCTTAATGAAAACCACCTCTAGAGATTGCATTCTAAATCTGGATTAGAGTCCGCATCTTCATAAATAATCTTTAATAAAATGCGATGCTGGCTTTTTTCCTTGGCACCTTTAGAGAGATTCGAGTTTCGCAGGTTCTCCGAAACCTGGACGTACACGCTGAGATCCCGAAGCTCGTTTTATCCAGGATTAATCAGCACCATTCTCGCGCTCGTCCTCGACTTGGAGTTTTCGGGAACGGAGGTGCAGCTTCGGGCCAAAGTGACGCATAAGTGAAACTTCAAAACGCATCGCGGAGCTGCAGCAGGTTGGAGCAGCCTCGGGCTACATACGCTCTCTGTCTCTCTAATTGGATTGCATTCCAAGCGGTAGCGAGTAATGGGCCAATTACAGTAGCTGATGGCGGACCGGCCTATACGGCTCACGAGATATCATTACTCCAAGGGATTAGAGAAACTCATACAGTTTCACTTTGGATCGGCAAAAACCTCTTCTCCCTTTGGCGCTTCTTTCGCGCGCCGGCTTTCCGCACCGTTTCCGCGGAAGGCGCCTCGAAGAAATCTCGGCTCTGCTTGCAGAGATCACCCTTTTTGTCCGCCGACAGGGATCTTGCCATTTTTACTCGCTTTTCATCTTTCGTGCACGACTATTCTAAGAAGATTTATCATACGACCGGAATGAATCTCTGTAAAGGGTTGAATGTTATGCCGCACGTTTCCGTTGGTACTTCAGAATGGGGAAGGTCTTACTTTAAGATGTTTAGGGTGATTTTATAATCGGATAGAGTTAATTTGAGTAAGTATAGTGGGAATTTCTCCTTTTATCCCACTCCTAATTAATTATTCGTGCTCGACTACTCTAAGTAGATTTATCATATGTCCGAAACGAATCTCCGTAAAGGGTTGAATGTTATGCCGCACGTTTCTGTTGACGAAGTAGTGACGTAGGTACTTGAGAATGGGGAAGGTCTTACTTTAAGATGTTTAGGGTGATTTTAATATCGGATGTAATTAATTCGAGCAAGTATAGTGGGAATTTTTCCTTTGATCCCCCTGCTAATTAATCTTTCTATACATATCTTTCTCTAGATATCTATATATTCTAGATTCTCTTCTAGATATCTTATCTCTATATATCTTTCTAGTGATTCTCAGAGAAGGAAATCGTTTTCACTGATTTCCAAGTGAAACATTCTCCCAATTTTGATGCCCAACGTCACCTTTTACCAAATCTCACTGTTCTTTATCATTCTAAATCAAAGACAATTGATCCTCAAAGAAGGGAATCGTTTTCCCTGATTTCCGATTGAACCCTCTCTCAAAAAATACAACTTCACATCCTTTTCATATTGATCGTGGAGTCGTCATTCGAGTATCCCCTTTAAAAATACACATCGCGGGTATTTTTGTCAATAAGAATAAGTCCTGCGAGGAGGTTGCACTTACCTTTATGTGAGTCATTCGGTGATAGTAGAGATTAGACGAGGCCGTGAATTTTTTCCCGCAGACCAGGCATTGGTGAGGCTTTTCTCCGCTGTGTATGCGTTTGTGCGTGTTCAAAGAGCTCGAGGTTGAGAAACCCTTGTTGCAGACCATGCAGACGTGCGGCTTCTCCCCTGCAATTTTAATACCCGCTGGATTACCGTGTGCCATTGCAATTTTCTGCATTTTCCGCGCCGACGGAAGTCCAAGGCGTTCCTAACGACACCGTGGTTTTCTTCTTACGTTAGTACACGAACTACAAACCACACGCGACACGCTTCCGTTGCTCCGAAAACGCTTACTCGCAATCTCCACAAATTGCCGGCAGTGCGTATCGGAGCATCGGAGAAAATATCCCGCAAAGAACCATCCATTATCTTCGCATTTTCGCGTTTAACAAGAGGCTCGACATCGTGGTTCCCTTTTTATAAATATTCATCTCGATCTTATCACCGTAAAACGTTCTACGAGCAGGCCTGGCGAATTTTCTCTCGATTTTCTTCGAATTATGTAAACAATAAGTATTGCGCGAAACAAAATTAACCATATCCGTTGAAATCGACGAAATTGTTAAAACAATTTATTCTTAATTTCTCAACCTTTCCCACGTTTCGCGTAAACTGTTATCTTACACTTGTGATTAACATTGCGTAAAATGAAATTGGCCACACGCATTAACCTCGTCGAAACCGTATGAAAGATGTATTGTAATCTTTTTGTAGTTCCTAAGTTTCATACAAACTGCTGTCCTACACTTGCAAATAATCTACATTTGATTAAACAAAATTAGCTATGCATATTAATATTAAGAGGAATATTTGAAGGATTCATTGCCGACTTTTTAAGCCTTTTCCCAGATTTCGTTTATATACTTATTTCAAGCTCGCGTATAATAAATGTATAGAACATAATCGGACCCGGTTATCAAAACTAGCGAAAAAGTTTGGACGATTTATCATCCTTTTTCGGGGTTTCCTCAGTTTTTGTACATGCTGTTATCTTACACCCTAGTCTTCGCGATATCGCCTGTCAATGAGAAAAGATCACTTTCCGCAGCTATCGTCACTGATAAACGACGCATCATCGTGAACTTCGGTTGGTAGCACCGGTTAAAGTCAGTAATTTAACCGTAAATTAGTAACCTCTAAAGCCATTCATGCGTTATAACGTCGAGGGTTGCCAGTAACGCGTGTACTTTGTATTCAGACTCATTCAGCCGACAATACGCTCGTATATCGAGGAAATACCTTACCGAGCCACCGTCATTACCCTCCACTTATGGTGTTACGTGCAATTTTCATATTTTCTTCCAATTGACACTAACGTCGTTTCCCAAACATCTCGAAGTAGCAATCAGCATAATACTTGATAGTACATCGCGCTACTTTGTAGCTCCAAATGATCTACTCATCTCAATTTTGTAACGACAATTACTCATGATATTTTCTAACACTTGTTCTTGATTAAAACTAGGCAATAAAATATTAGTCCTCAAATTCCCGGTTGTAAATAGACGATATTAATGGAAATTTCATTACGATCTTGTCTGAATAAACTGATACGAATAATTTAAATTTATTATTTATTAAATAGGTATTTAATTATTAGATATCACTGTACTTTTTCAGTAAAAAGGGTTAAGATCGGTAATCTTATCGCGCCTTGGTAACAGCAAAAATATGGCAATATATTTTTTTTAATTCATCGTCGTCATAAGAATCTTTAATTAAATTTGTCTTGCCACTTATCGGAATAATGATCGTTTACTCGGTATTCCTGATTTTCTGTATATCTTTTATTCATACAAATTCTTCAGTCGTCAATACCTATTAGTTTCGAATAATATTTTTTCTCGATTTAATTCCGGCACTGTAATAGGCAACCTTAATGATAACAGGGCAATTACTGTGAAGTTCGATTAGCGGAACCGGTTAAACTGAACTACCCCATAATAAATGAATAAAACCGGAAACCGATTAATCCATCATTAGTCATCGATAAGTTTATGACGTCAAGTACCGAAGGATGCAATCCTTTCTACTATCACCTTGCATTCCTTTTTATATCCATTACGGTGTCGCTTATTTATAACTATTAACCGTGTTGCCTCCGTCTAAACTTTAAATGCAGTTAATTCCTTCCGTCATTGACAACTATTAATTTCAACATATTCTTTCGTGACTTAATCTCACCACTGCATTAGAGACCTCCTCGGCGATAACAGTCCGTGCTGTAACGATCGATAAGTGAAACCGGTTAAATTCAATTATCGCATAGTACATAAGTAATACCGGAAACTAACCCACCAATATTCATTATCATTTATAAGTCGGAAATTGGCTAATCCACCATGATTAATTGCCGCGATTACTTTATTAGACGGAGGCCGCCACCAGTATTTATTATCAAATCTGGAAGTACATTATTACATTTCCTCTCTCACATACATAGAACATTAGTTTCTATAATTACTGGTCGTATTATTTTCCATTGAATGTTCAATGAAAGCAATTCATTTCTTCATCAATGACAAATAATTCGAACAATACCTTTGTCTCGATCAAACCAACTGCATGATAGTGTAGACTATTTTCCCGATAACACGCATTATTATTAGTAGCGATACAGGGATTATCATGAAGTTTGATTAATGAAACCGTTAAATTCAGCTGTTCCATTCTGAAGGATTAATACCGGAAACTGACTAATCCACCATTAATTATTGACAGATTTATCGCGGCAATCTTTTGCAGTATTTTATTGCATTTCCTTTATTATCTGCATATGTTATGAACTTCTATGATTACTAACCCTACTATCTTTTTCTAAGTTTCAAGTGAATTTAATTCTTTCATTCATTAATAACAATTAATTCCGCCAATATTCCTTCCAGATCATACCTCGTCGGTGCTTGTAGTAAATTAGACCATCTCAGCGGTAACAGGTATTATTACGAGCTTGAATTAATAGAACCAGGTAATTTCAACTGTCCCATCATAAACGGATTAAATCGAAAAACCATCATTTACTACCCTTGTACAATAATCGCGTCTGCTGTATTAGCAATAATCTTTCCCACCATTTCATCTCATTTCCTTTATTATCTACATACGTTATCAGCTTCTATGATTACTAGCCATGTTACCGTCCTTCGGATTTTAAGTGAATCTAATTCTTTCCCCCGTTATTAAAAATTAATTCCGCCTATATTCCTTCCAAATCATATCTCGTCGGCGCTTATAGTAGATTAGACCATCTCAGCCGTAACAGGTATTATCACGAACTTGAATTAATGGAACCAGGTAATTTCAACTGTCCCATCATAAACGGATTAAATCCAAAAACCGAGTAATCCATCATTTACTACCCTCGTATAATAATCGCGTCTACTGTATTAGCAATAATCTTTCCCACCATGTCATCTCATTTCATTTATTATCTACATACGTTATCAACTTCTATGATTACTAGCCCCATTACCGTCCTTCGGATTTTAAGTGAATCTAATTCTTCCCCCACTAAAAAAAATTAATTCCGCCAATATTCCTTCCAGATCATACCTCGTAAGCGCTTGCAGTGGATTAGACCATCTCAGTGATAACAGGTATTATTGCGAACTTGATTTAATGGAACCAGGTAATTTCACCTGTCCCATCATAAATCCAAAAGCCAAGTAATCCACCATTTACTACCCTCATACAATAATCGCGTCTACTGTATTAGCAATAATCTTTCCACCATTTCATCTAATTTCCTTTATTATCTACATACGTTATCAGCTGCTATGATTACCAGCCCTAGTCCTTCGGATTTCAAGTGAATCTAACTCTTTCCCCCATCGATAACAATTAATTCCGTCATTATTATTTCCGGACCATATCTCGACAGTGCTTGTAACTTAGACCATCTCAGCGATAACAGGCATTACCGTGAAGTTCGATTAGTGGAACCGGTTAAAGTCAGCAATCACATAATAAATTAGTGACCATGTAAAGCCATTGATCCAGCCTAGTGTCGAGGCTGAGAAACGCATGCATCTCGCGATTGGACGCATTCTCCGGAGAAGAGGTTCATACGCGAGATGCCTCGCGACCCACCGCGGTGGAAACCAATATCGATAAACAAAGTGAATTCCTATGAGATACCTGTGTGAGTTCTCATGTGTCGCTTGAGCAGCGAGGGCCGATCGAAGGACTTGCCGCAGACCTCGCAGGGTAGAAGGACCCTCTCGCCCCTCTTGATGGTCGTCAGGATGCTGCAGTCCAGGTGATCTCCCACCAGCGACAGAGTCGATGAAGACGACTCCTCGGATGTTGACTCGTACTCGTCCACCTCGTAGTACGAGGTCGATATCGACGGCGAAGAGTGATCTGACAGGAGAGCCATCGAGAGATCCAGCGGGGATTCTTAACAGATAAAAACCTGTTAGGGTCTACTCGCAGGAAATGCCGGACGCTGCGGAGAAGGCTTCGAGATGATGGAATTCCGTGCACGCTCAGTGGCCAAATTTCGACAACTTTTTCCGCTAGTCGGTATTTATTGCACGTTAGGATTAATGACGAATCCTGAAACTGATGTTATTTTTAATTAAATAAGTTGAGGAGCTGAATTGGGGGATTTTAGAGTTAAATAAACTACCGTATGAGTGAATGTTTGGATAGAATGGATTTTGTATGAACATTTTTTTTTATTAATGTTTGGTAAGACTATATGTTGGTATTTATTGCACGTTACGATTAATGACGAATCCTGAAACTGATGTTATTTTTAATTAAATAAGTTGAGGAGCTGAATTGGGGGATTTTAGTGTTAAATAAACGACCGTATGAGTGAATGTTTGGATGGAATGGATTTTGTATGAACATTATTTTTTAGTAATGTTTGGTAAGATTATATGTCGGTATTTATTGCACGATTAATGACGAATCCTGAAACTGATGTTATTTTTAATTAAATAAGTTGAGGAGCTGAATTGGGGGATTTTAGTGTTAAATAAACGACCGTATGAGGGAATGTTTGGATGCAATGGATTTTGTATGAACATTTTTTTTTTAGTAATGTTTGGTAAGATTATATGTCGGTATTTATTGCACGTTAGGATTAATGGCGATTATTGAAACTGCTGTTATTTTTCATTAAGTTGAGGAGCTAACCTCGAGGACTTTAATGTTCATAAGAGCGAGTGTTCAAATAGAATGAATTTTGTATCATTGTTTTTAGTTTCTTTCTTGTAATTTCGTATTTGGCTATGTTCAATGTTTAATTAATTTAAAGGAGACCGCAGCTTGCAGAAGGCACTTCAATTTTACAGAAATCTGAAGGAAATATAAATAAGACGATTACACAGAATTTAACAATTAATCTATTAGTATATAAAGCTAATATTAATTTTATTTGAATAAACTGTTCTTGGTCTACAACAACCATGGCTGCATTCTATTCCTTCAAATAGCAATTAGCAAGAATGTACGATCATTAATCTCAAATAGAAATTCACTTGTTCAAAGGAATTTATTTAAATTAAATAAACATCGGTCATTCTCGTACACAAAACGGTGTTAAATTATGATCAAAGCACAACTTCCACTGGACTTTAACGTTACTTTAAATTGATATTAATTTTCTCCTAACAATTATAGGATATTAGCTCCCTTCTACCTACACGATCGATCATAAAACTCTTGGAAATTGTTTTCGCGTGGATATTTAATGGGCCCGAATACACGGGTTCAAAATTACGTCCAATAAATCCCCAAATTGGTCTAATTAAGTTCCCTCGTGACCTGAAAATATATTATCGAGAGGCTTCAAGAGGCGCCGCCGAGTTATTGCTCGGAGTTGCTCTCTCGTCGAATTCGAATGACCGATTGAGCTCGCATTTCTTCAGGACTCGAGTAAAACATAGGAGCGTAATATTGGCTCGATTAATAACACCGCACGGCCTGGAAATATGTCTCCGAGTGCATTCGAGGCGCAGTATCGAACGATGCACCTGTCGGCGGACTTGCGCCTTAAAATAACTCGTCCACATCGAAGCGATCATTACTCCACAATTTCTCGCAGTAGCCCTCGACATCGGACTCGAAGAAGTTGCCCATACTTCTTCTGAGCTGCTCCAACCATAATTAATGGATGGCCAAGAGACCAAGAGGTGGAGGCCCCTTGCGAACGCGTCCCTCCCCTATTCGAGCTTTGCAGGTGTAATTCCTTAAGTCATGCAATTTTGGAGGAATTTATTCACAAACCTAATTACGGGGGGAAGATAGTCAAAATTAAATGTTCCCATTTCGGCGTCCCTCCCCTATTCGAGCTTTGCAGGTGTAATTTCTTAAGTCATGCAATTTTGGAGGAATTTTTGTACGTGTCACGGGCCACGGCATGTTGGTTTAGTCCATGATAAATAAATTCTTAATGAAAAATGAAATTTCGTTAGTTTCAGGACCTACTTTAGGGCCTCCATATTCACGTGGTGGAATTTGAAACGAATCGGTGCACCCAATTTAGAGAATACCCTAGTAGCACAAAATATATGTCCTATATTTTCTATATATTTAACGAGTATCGTACATTTTGTAAATATTTAGCAGACATTTGAAATATTTGCAAAACATTTACTTTAGAATATTATCCCTATAATATTTATGTAATATTAGCTCCGTGTGTTTTCATCATATTTTTCTACCAGATGTACGAAACATTTCGTTTCATTTTACTACGAGTATTTCTTAAATATTATCTGCCGAATACATTATAAACGTTTTAAATATATTTAAAATCAAAATAACATGATTAGCTCCCATAATGAAATAGCGGAAGGAAAATATTATCGAAATTTCTCGTGTTCTTTGATACAAAATGAAGTGTCCGATAATAGTCGTGAAGTAAAAAATGTATTTTTATTACACGTTCATAAATTAAAAAATATAATTTCTATATGTGTTTATAAATTATTGAAACTAAATATGTCGTTGAGATTTTCAACAAATGTTTCTACAAGAAATTTTAAAAAATCTGTCGCTTGAGATATTTAGCAATGATTACAAAGAAATATTTAGGAATTGTTCTATGCTACTAGGGTACTTTCCCTAATGACCTGACTTTTTAGATATATGTAGGCTGACTCATATCACCTTAATTTGGGCAGAATTGAATTGCGCATCCAATGGGCAATAAGAAATGCCCAAAGAGGGTGTATTTCGTAGTATGGCTGTACGCACTCGGCGGCTCCCTGTGTTCCGATCAGGAGTCGAGCGCGTGCAATCGTAAATAGAATAATAAGACCCCCTACAAATCTGAAATGCAAATACGAGGCGGAATTTTTGTCGGCCAGATCAAGGTGGCCGCCTGTGATTCAAATGTGTAGCCCCTCGCGGGGAATAAAAGACAGTACAATGGGTGGTGGTAGCTAGACGGTCCTTAGTTGCACTCCTGGCATGGTATTTCTTACGAACTTTCAGGGCACCGGTAGCAGTACAAGAAAGAGAAGAAGACCCGACCGAAGAAGAGAACCAGTCAGAGAGGGGAAGAAGACACTTCGTCTTCTTAACTTCGGACCGAACCGCTCCGGCTCGACATCCGAAACAATCGGTAAAGGCTTTTCGGCTCCTCAAACTTCTCCCCGCGGACAGACCTTAATAGAAGTTCCCCCAAACTTTCTTTATTGGAAGACAAAAGTGCTCCAAATATTCTTACGTATCCGCGTGGAGGTAATCGCTTTAAGCGAGCTTTACCAAGAGATCGAGCAGACTGTATCGGAGAATAATTCTACGAAGGGGGAACGATAACAGCGAAGGAAACAGTAATTAATTTTCCTTTGCTATTATCATTCGATCAACGTGTATCTCTACTTAAAGGAAACGAAGTTTGTACACGTGTAAAGTATAAGACGATTTAGGGAAATGTTTTACACGATTATTCCCTCTTTCGTAGGGACGAGAATTAATTATCTGTTCGTGTTTAATGAGAGCTTTATCATGAATGTATTGTATCTTCTCGTTCGAGATGAAGTAGACTAGTCGACCACGCGACTATATTTATTATTTTATCACCTGATAATAAATGCTTATGTGGTCAAGTGTTCGACTGGGCAAATTGAGATTGCAGAAGGGACAGTAAATTAATTCGCTGTCCCTTTTTCAATATTAGTTACTGTCTGTTGTTTTGATAAAAATGAAAGACTTACCGTCCAAAATGGAGTCGATGGTGCATCTGTAAATGGCAGATCGTGAACACACGTCGTGAGATATAAAGAGGAAGTCTTGTTGACCAGCCGGAAGGAACCAGGCGACCAACTCAGCGTCTGGTTGGACATCTTTTACTACTTCAAAAATCGGTTCGCCTGTAACGAAAGTGTAGAAATTTTCATATTAACTGAGATATTACAGCAAGAGTTACGCATAGATTTTCGTAGCAGTCATGAAAATGCTTGAGTCCTTATAAACTTATTGAACATTTTAGATTCGATAAACCTGATGAACGTTTTAACTTTTACGAACCTAATGAACTCTAGTTTACATAAACTCGATGAATGTTTGAATTTTCAAGAACCCAATGAACTTGTTAATTCTCCTAAACGTTTGAGTTTTTGCGAACTTTTCATTTTATCCGATCAATTTACTAGTTTCTATGAGATCGATGCACTTACTAGAACTATTAAAAGGGCCAGAATTCGACAAAGTTTAATAAACTGCAAATAATCACGCCAAAGTACTTTTAAGGGCAGCGACATTTATGTACAGTTTGCAAGTACACAAGTGTCAGTGAAATAAGCTCGATAATTGAGATGATATGAACTAGTCCGTGCAGGAGTAATAAACTTCTTACACGTACGATGTGTACTCTTGCAGTTCCTTTCTTAGAATAAGAAAATTCTGCAGAATTTCTACGTGTCTCGCAACACCAAATAGGCGAAATAATTGCTGTCCCCGTTAATCACCTCTTGTAAAATTATCGCGCAAAAACTGGCGTATGCAGGAATGAAATAAATGTCCCGACGTGACTCATTGGCACGAATGGCAAATCGAACAACATGCCTAAAGTAATTAACACGATATGTGGCCGAGAAAACATAAACATTTAACTCACCCTTCACCTTCGTGCCAACAAGGTTCACTTGTTCGTTGTATGTCTGAACGATGCGGAGGAATCTTATCCAATTGCACTGCCGCTTGTTCAGATTGTAATTCGAAAAAGACACCTCGTCGTAACAACCGTACTCACGTCTGATCTGAAAACAGAGGAGAATACTCCATTTACCATATGTACATTATTAAATATTATAATTGTCTCTCAAACAACCATGATAAAAGGAACTAGTTTTGATCTAGTTTCTTCTATCTCTTACAATTTTCGACGAAAAAGAAATCAAACGATTGTCCAATTTCTTAAAAGTTCAACATTCCGACGCATTATTGTACAAATGAATTTTTTCGCAACGTTTTCTTTACTTTTACCTTTCGAAAAGAAATGTGAATGATTTAAAGGCAGCGTTTTCCATCGAGGATTCATTGATTGAAAATGTTCCTTTTGAAATGATTTTACTGATGAAAATGATAAGGATGATCAGCTGGAAATTTATTCGCGAAGAAATGAATGGCTGATGTATTCAAAACATGTCTGTACCTGTACTAAAACAAACTACCAGTAAAAGCGTATTGTTATTAAGCATTTACCTAAATAATTACATTAAACATTTTTGCAAGATTTCTCGGTTCCAACCATTATTTTTCCCGACGAAGTATTTTCTAAAAAATCTCCCATGAGGGTACCATTAACTTTATACCACGGTACTTACATCATTATCGTCAATTAAGGACTACTTGAAGTAAAATAAGAAGAGTCGGACGAACCACCCATAAAAACATTGCTATTAAACATTTACCTAGATAATTGCACTAAATAACTCTACAAGAAGGCATTCTCCGTTTAATTCACAATTTTTCACAACGGAGTATCTCGTCTAAAATCTCCAATCAAAAAAAATCCAATTTCCATGGAAAAAAAGACATTTGCATTTTTAGCAAAGAACAGCATTGTTGATAAAATTTACTCTTACTCTAGAAACAATCGCACCGACAACAAAAATGCTTGCTAAATTAGCAAATGAATTTGTTACAACAGCTAGAAAAATATTCTTGTCCCTCCTCAAACGAATGAGCGACAATTTATTATCGCTAGAAAAGATTATTGCGACTATTAATAGAATTTGCGTTGCCCCGGTGAAATTAATCGTTCTTTTGTTATCGATATAACAAAAACGTTAGAAACGATAGAAAAAAAAAAATACTTGCTAAATTAATAAATGAAATTGTTGCAACAGCCAGAAAAATCTTCTTGTCCCTCCTCAAACGAATGAGCGACAATTTGTTACCGCTAGGAAAGAATATTGCGACTATTAATAGAACTTACGTTGCCCCGGTGAAATTAATTGTTCTCTTGTCATCGATATAACAAAAACGTTAGAAACGATAGAAAAAAAAAATGCTTGCTAAATTAATAAATGAAATTGTTGCAACAGCCAGAAAAATCTTCTTGTCCCTTTTCAAACGAATGAGCGACAATTTATTATCGCTAGAAAAGAATATTGCAGCTATTTACAGAACTTGCGTTGCCCCGGTGAAATTAATCGTTCTTTTCTCGCCGATATAACAAAAACGTTTCTAGACGAAACTTCTGCTGGCCCATTATCAAGTGTTCGCATTTGTTGCGGCGAGTAGAATTTTATGTTACTACTGTGAATACTTTTTCTGCGCGAGGGTACCATCAACCGCAATTACTATACCGCAAGTACTTACGTCGTTATCGTCGAGTAAGGAGTACAGGTCGATCTTGTCGAACCTGATCGAGCCCTGGAAAGGATAGATGAGCGTCCCGGCAGGGATGAAGACGTTGGACCAAACGGATATCCTGAGGTCGGCCACGAGGGTGCCGGAGTCGTTCTTGAACATGTTCTTGCAAGCCGCCCTATCGCCGGCCAGCACCAGAGAGAATTCCTTCGGTATCAGGACGCAGGTTTCCATAACCGAGGCCCTCCGGAGATGACTTCCCTGAGAAGAGCCACCACCCTGGCCAAGGACGACTCCGGAAATCCCCTTCTCCACCGTGGTTGGTCTTCGGCCTCCTAGAGGGGGACCGACGTGGTTTTACCACGTGCAAATTGGCCGGCGATAAGCGCGGATCGCTCGCGCGGAAAGGCCGCGGTCGAGCCTTACATGGACCTTCGACGTCTCCCCTGTACAACGAGCCCGAGGACTCGATTCCTCCCGAGCTACACCGACGAAGGGAGTTGTTGCTGCCGATGTAGAAATAGAGCGCTCTTCCCGGAGCTTCGATCGGTCTATCTAAACAGCGATGAAATTTCCACGGTTAGAAGGAACTGCGACAAATGAATCATGTATTGAAAGTTAAATTCATAATTTTCATGACACTCATGAGAATTTTTCAGTTCTTATAAACTCATCGAACATTTCAGTTCCGATAAACCTGATGAACGTTTCAACTTTTATCAACCCAATGAACGTTTCAACTTTTATCAACCTAATGACCGTTTCAACTTTTATCAACCTAATGAACGGTTCAACTTTTATCAACCCAATGAACGTTCCAACTTTTATCAACCCAATGAACGCTTGAGTTCTCACGAACCCGATGTACTCTAGTCTTCATAAACTCGATGAATGTTTTAGTTCTTACAAACTCAAGGATGTCGCAGCTTTTATGAACCCAATGAACATTTTAAATTTCACGTACTCGAAGAACGTTTGAGTTTCGATTGGAGCTTCGATCGGTCTATCTAAATAGCGATGAAATTTCCACGGTTAGAAGAAACTGCGACAAATGAATAATGTATTGAAAGTTTAATTTGATCGGAAAATAATTCTATAGTACATTCGATGATGTATTTAATCTTTATCTACAAACATGGTCTTTCAGACCCAGCTGAACCCAGCAGTACACCTAATCCTGTTGCCTCTCCGTTATTTTTTTAATTATTCTAAGCAATTAATAAATTGATCCCACCTAAGTCAAAGATTGCAACACTAAATAAAAATTTGTGCACTGAACTCTACTGATTCAGGTTGATTACGAATATCGCTAAATTGAATACTGGTTAGAACATAATTTAATATTTTATATTAAATTGAAGAATCCATAGGGGGTCATATTTCTGTACACCTGCGTGGAAAAAACTAAATTTATCAATACTCTCTGCACGTATCTGACTTTATTAACAATACCCTTAGGAAAGCTACTCGAATTCGTGTACTGCCTGCCCTCGTTAAATTTATTTGAAGGACAACATCCCTGCAGCCTAATATTAAAACGAGTATATCGAAATTACACAGTAAGAGCAACGACTTGGCTTCGGGATAAATTTATCCAAACCTGAAACTCGAATGACCACTCTAAAGAAATGGATCTCGCTGGATGTATGGTAGCAGTTTTAATTTGCATAGTAATTAATGCAGGACGTATTAACACATGCAACTCAGATTTTAATCCTCACGTGTACTGTAATTACATAAAATTTATACCACTGAAATTTAGCACGAACATTCAATTTATGATGTCATAGCACGACATTCATCTTAAGGCTCATCGTCCTTTCTTAATTTATTGTTTAACAAAAAACCTGCCCTGCGAATTATTTAATGTTAGTAATTTCAATATTTCAACAACTCCCGTTTAAAATTTCTTATCGAATAATTGTGCCCATGAGTATGAAAGTGGCCTGTCATTCTTTTTTTTTTTTCTGCGAAACTAATATCACATTTTTGCAATTTAAATAGATACAACACAAAATATGAGATAAATTCATTTCTTTTTCTTGAGATTTTTGACTTAGATCATTTTTATAAGTACAGATACAATTCTAATTCATTTCATATTTATATAGTTCGCGGGTATCATAAAAGATAATCGAATATTTTGTTTCCTTACTTTGATATTATTGGGAATTCATCTTGAAAATTTTAGTTTCAGACAGAATCGTTTTGAAAGGATCTTTGTTCTAGCCGCTCCTAGACGGAATCATTCGAAGATTATTGCTTAATACTTTATAAATACAAGTTTTCATCAGTCAACGTATGTGATTTACAATAGATGAATTACATGTAGCTTACTAAACAAATTTTTAATAATCTATGGAGTCAGATTTACAACTTATAACGTAGAGAACTATTCATATATACCTTGCGAATTTCTACAGTTTCATATCTTAAGATGATTGTGTCACATAAGTGTTCATGTATTGCGTACTTATTTCATGGATTTTCGTTTAAGGATATGTTAGTAACCTGATTAATAAAAATAAGTACTTCGATCGTCACCTCGACGCGTAATAAAGATTTTCATCATCGAGCACTTACGATTTACTAATGCCTAATTGATGATATTGTATTTAGAAAATGTATCGGCTAATTAATTTGTAGCTACTTAGAAGGCGTGCTACTTACTCGTGCTATACTCGAGTTATAGGTTCCCGTGTTTACAACGTGCGCTCACTTCTGCACCTCGCGCGAATTTATGCTCTACGATTATATCAAATATATCGGTGGTATCCCTTCATTCATCAAATGCTTCGCGAATGAATTTACTCGACTTAATTCGTCACCGACAAAAGATACGTATACTTTTTAAAACATTCCCGTTTTTTTCTAATGATCATCCCTGGGTATCGGAAAGCTTCCATAGAATCCATCAATAGATTACTTGAAGATCTTTTTTTAGATTAGCCGATTCCCATGACGCTCACAGAAACGCGAGGTATCTGAAGGTATCTTTACCTACCGATTAGGAAGCGACTTCCAAGATGCCCAAAAACCCAGGAATGACTAAAAAATCCCCCCAAGACGTCGCACACCACCTGGGATACTCACGGCTCATTTTGGGAACGATTGCTCTAAAATCCCCACGTGCGTAAATGCTACTTGCGCGGTCGTAGGACATACCGGGCCAAGTCGTCGGTGCCCACAGATACGCGAGATATCTTTATGTATCGATTAGGAAACGACTTCCAAGATGTCTAAAAAACTAGGAATGACTAAAAAGATTCCCCCAAGACGTCGCACTCTACCTCGGATACTCACGGCTCATTTGGGGAACGAATACTCTAAAATCCCCACGTGCGTGAATGCTACTCGCGCGATCCTAGGACATACCGGGCCAAGTCGTCGGTACTCACAGATACGCGAGATATCTTTACCTATCGATTAGGAAGCAACTTCCAAGATACCCAAAAAAAAACAAGAAGGACTAAAAAGATTCCACCAAGACGTCGCACTTCACCTCGGATACTCATGACTCGTTCGGGGAACGATTACTCTAAAATCCCCACGTGTGCAAAAGCTACTCGCGCGTTCGTAGGACAAACCGGGCCAAATCGTCCGTGCTCACAGATACGCGAGATATCCGAAGGTAATTTTACCTATTGATTCGGAAGCGACTTCTAAGATGCCCAAAAACCTAGGAATGACTAAAAAATCCTCCCAAGACGTCGCACTCCACCTCGGATACTCACGACTCGTTCGGGGAACGATTACTCTAAAATCCCCACGTGTGCAAAGGCTACTCGCGCGCTCATAGGACCAACCGGCCAAGTCGTTGCTGCTTACAGACACGCGAGATATCTGAAGGTATCTTTACCTACCGATTAGGAAGCGACTTCCAAGATGCCCAAAAACCCAGGAATGACTAAAAAATCCCCTCAAGACGTCGCACTCCACCTCGGATACTCACGACTCGTTCGGGGAACGATTACTCTAAAATCCCCACGTGTGCGAATGCAACTCGCGCGCTCGTAGGACAAACCGGGCCAAGTCGTCGGTGCTCCGGTCAGCTCCCGAGGGAGTCCAATCGGAGCGATTCCGACGTCGAGGAGTCCAACTCCCCGACCCGAAGTGTCTTTGGGCAAAGTCAGGCGCGAACGAGCGACGCACGATCGTCCGTGGTGTAAGGTGCAAGGCCCTCGGCTGACTGGATGGGATTAACCGACTGATCTTGACCTTGCGACGGGTTACCAGCATTTGCTACCGAATGGGTAGCCCTTCCCCGCGCAGGGTTCCCCACTCCGGCGGTCCCATCGCCTCTTCCCTATGTCCACCTATATCGGGCCCGCTGTATACTGCTGTATACCCCGAGCGTAAGGCCCCGTGGTATAGTGCGGCTCTCCACGGGAGCGGGACGGGAGTCGGGTGTCGAGACGTGGTCGGGACGTGGTCTGGACGTGGTCGGGATGCCCTCGGCACGCTGGACCGCCACAAGGAAGCCGACGCTCTCCTCCGTTCTTCCCTACCCTTGCTTAACACCCTGGTTACTTAAGGTGATACGAAAGTGTGATATATACGCACCAAAAAGTGAAAAGATTAATAAAACTTTTCTCCAGGACTGGATGCACCGAATTATCTGAAACCTTAACACTTCTTCCTTGGTGCCTCCATAATCACGCGTTAGAGTTTCAGACAATTCGGTGCACCCAGTTTGGAGAAATGTTTTATGAATATTTTGACTTTCAGGTACGTATATATCACACTTTCGTATCACCTTAATGAGCCGCTTTTTCTCCGCGATGGCCGTCGTTCGCCATGCGAGGGCGACATGGTTTAATTGGGAAAGTAGCGTTGGTGTACTCAATCCGAGTACCCCATGTTATTTGGAGCCTAAGGGGGTCCTTTCTTCTGGAAAATGTTGCTCTAGGTGGGGACCAAAGAACGCAGTCGTTAGAACTTGTTAGGTAGGATGATCACTTATGGAAAAGGATGCACCGTGGGTGAAGGACCCTGATTGGGCGGATCCAGTGGTTCTTTTCTGCATGGAACTGTCTGCGTCCTGACAATTAAAACTCTCTGTCGCGTACTAATAATAATGACTTACTGGCATGAATTCAACGCGCGATTTGGAAATATTTGTCGGTGCAATTGATCCGGAGTTATTTGACGCCTAAGGGGTTTTTTTCTTCCGGAAGATGTTGCTCTAGGAGGGGACAGTAGAGTCAGTCGTTAGAATTTGTTAGGTGGAATGATTATTTATGGAAAAGGATGTGCCCTGGGTGAAGGACCCTCATTGAGCGGATCCTGTGTCGAACCGGTTGTGTATTGGTAATTAGTACGTTCCATGCGTATGCAGACAATAAGGACTTACTGGCATAAGTTCAACGTGCGACAGGAACAGAATGGGGTTGTCTGCATGTTATCAGGACCTGGTCGGGACATTGTCGGGACACGGGACCACCATAAGGAAGCCGAAGGTGTTCTTTGCTCTTCCCTTGTCGACCATCGTTTAACACCCTGGTTCCTTAATGAGCCACATTTTTCTTCGAGGTCCTCGGCATCGCTTCTTTGGAGCCGATGTTCATGGACTAAAAACTGGGGTATGTATGTTAATCTCTCAATTTCTTGTCCTCGAAGGGGTAACTCCTCCTTTGAAGTTTGGGCCGACTTAATGCTTACCTTATCGAAGAGGTTGTAGGGTACGCGATACCCCTTCGTACCATCGTCTCAGAATCCGCTCCCAACGTTCTTGTTTGACAATCCTGGAAGTTCTGGGAGTATATAGAACTTGTGTTAGGAGTTCGGATCAGTCGAGCTGGAACATGGACGGGAATTTGGATCGCCCGAAGGAAACCAACCGGTGGCTGCTCGGCGCCATCGTCGTCGTCTCGTTCTCGTCCTGCTCGTCTGCCGCCACTTAAGAACCACGTGGGCGACTCGGCATCTCTTGCTCGTCTACCTTGGTCTTTTATTTCTCATTTAGACATTTTATTTTTCCCCCCCACGGTGATTTATTTCTTCTTAATTGTATGTAGTTCGCGCGAAATGATATGCATTACCCGAGGTGAATGTGTAGCATCGATTCTCTCTCCTCTCTTGATGCCAATTTCGGATGTTGGAATCATGACGCTATCTTATAGGGAGGGAAAAATTGCGCCGGTCGTCGTGGGTGCACCGAGAAAAAGATTTCATCGAATCAGGGAAAATATTTCTTGGATAAGTACCAAAGAAATGTTTCGTTAACTCGTAGAATAAGTATATGACACGAGTAAACTCGAATTATAAATGATTCATGGTTTTTGGTGCCCTAATTGACTTCAAAGTGCCATCCTGCGCTATCTGTGATTTCAGTGCCAACTAAATTTCCTCTCCGAGACCTCGTGTTACCGTCGTTTTAGCACAGAGGCGCATAAGACACTTTTTTAACCTTTATCCCGCTCAAATGCGAGTTTCTCGAGTACTAGATGGTTCTAAATTGTTATACAATTGCTCTGACACTTTCGATTCTCATATCGGAGTTTTCAATCTATCCTATCAATATATTTATAGAGATATGACAGTCCTATGCCATTTTGGTTCTGGTCTAAACTAAGTGAACCAAATTTAAAAAGAAAAAACCCAAATTTTGAAAGTGTCAGGATAATTCTTAGGTGCCCACAAGTCATGTGCCAAAGTTTCAGACAGTTCTTGGGGGCTATTCACTAGGAAATCAGTGAAAATGATTTCCATCTTTGAAAATCAAATCTCTTTGATTTCATATGATAAACAACAATGCGATTCGGAAACAAGTGACAATCGGCCTTAAAGTTATGGCTATGGATTGGTCGTTTCCAATGATTTCCAGTGCTTTCTGCTTGTAACTTACATCTGACTTTCCATGTAACTTCGAGTATTCAGATCCACGATATTCCTTATGCCTTTAACAACGAAAAGTCGAAGAAATATGTTGGTCTGTACATATGGGTCGTGTATTATGATCGGGACGTCGGAAAAAAAGTGTTGTAAAAAAAAAGTGTCTTACTCGAATCGATCTATTTGAGGGGGATTCACTTCACCTTAAATTTTGCTTATGCCTTTAACAACGAAAAGTCGAAGAAATATGTTTGTCGATACATATAGGTCGTGCATAATGGTCGGGTCGTAGTCAGGACGTCGGAAAAAAAGTGTAAAAAAAGTGTCTAGCTCGAATCGACCTATTTGAGGGAGTTTCACTTCACCTTAAATTTTGCTTATGTCTTTAACAACGAAAAGTCGAAGAAATATGTTGGTCGGTACATATGGGTCGTTCATAATGGTCGGGTCGTAGTCGGGACGTCGGAAAAAAGTGTTGAAAAGTATAAAAAAAGTGTCTAGCTCGAATCGACCTATCTGAGTGGGTTTCACTTCACCTTAAATGTTGCTTATATCTTTAACAACGAAAAGTCGAAGAAATATTTTGGTCGGTACATATGGGTCGCGTATTATGGTCGGGACGTAGTCGGGACGTCGGACGACGGCACAAGGAAGCCGGCCCGTCATCGTGGTCTTCTTCTCCTGGTCCTCATCCAGCCCGTCCGCCGCCGCTTAAGAACCACGTGGGCGACTCGGCACCTGTCGCTCGCTTGCCTTCCCCCACTTCCCCCTCCCTCCCTCGGCTAACGGCCTCCCCTTTTCGCGTCCTTTTTCTCTTCTCGCTTCCTCCCTTGCCTACCGATCTCCTGCCAACCTGCCGACTCGCCTCCGCCCTGCTCCACTCGCCCCTCGAGCGAGCCCGCACTCTCCCGCCACTGCGCATGCGTGTGAGCCCGCGGGCCCCTCGCTCCTGCGCATGCGCCCTGCCGCACTTATACGCATATCGCGTCCCATTAAGCCAGTGCGTATCTCTTAAAATCGAAATTTCTATCGACCACCGGGACCCGTTAAAGTGTTAACGTTGCGGCGAACACGGTTTTTCTGCAAACCTCGCCGAGGAGGGCTCCCTCGTTAACACAGTGATTAAGCGAGTCGGCGGCTCGCCGAAAAAAAAAAAGAAAACCTGCAATGAGCGTTCCCTTCAGCCTAATGGGTTTTCATGCTCCACAAAGTCCGGTAATCTATATCCGCGGGTTCATATTCCATGTGCATATGATTTCTGCAAACGAGGGGTAAGATACGCTGGGTGGTACACGCTTTTGCCCGCACAGGCGTGTACGGAGATCTCTTGCGGTCCGAGTACACCTATACTCCTTTTAAACGCTGTTTACAATTTTGTTATTATCAGACTTCCCCTGTCCCGTAATTACAACTTCCCTTCGGCTAATATTAATAATATTCCTAATTCATTGCATTATAGGCATAACCGGCTCGAGTCCATTTAAAAGTCCCCCCCCTTACGAGTTCTCCCAACCTCTAATTCTACTTAATCAAAATTGATTTATCACCTCGGTGTAAAAAACACGGGGTACTGAGACATCACGCAAATACCGGGGATACATATTTAAAAGAACTCCCGACCAGCCATCCAGAAAATGCTAATCCGCGTTTCTCGTACCCGGGAATTACAAGTACGCCCCAGACACGTAATTAATATACCCGGTAAGACCTTTACTCTTGGTCTGCGAGCACTTTTTCGCGCATGCGTCGTGGCGCCCGGGACCCTCCAGGGTCCTCCGCGCGCGTACGCCACTGCGCATGCGTGCACGCCCGCGGGCCGGAGACGCGCAAGTGCGCACGCCGCGCCGGCGCGCATGCGTGTGCGCCAGCCGGGGCTCCCTGCTCCTCGCGCACGCATATTCCTTACACCTCTCTCTTACCGATCCGCGACGGACACTCCCACGGTCGACGCTCGACGCGGCCCGTGATCGTCTCTCGATTTTACGCGGCTTTTCCGTCCTCCTTTTTTGTCCCTCTCGCGCGCACGCATCGCCCCTGATACCCTCCCATGATTTATCGGCTCGGCCGGCGCGCGCCGTCCGCTGGACGACGATTCCCGGAGATTCTAGTCCCTGGATTATGTCAGCGACGTGGACGGCGCCGGACGCTGGCTACCTTACCGAGGTATATCGGGCCTGCCGAGGGTGATGCGCTATTTCTGCATCGATTACCTTGTACATGTTGCCCTGCGCTTGTTTGAGGGGGAACGCGGGACGCTGACGCGCTCTGAGACTAATTCATAGTGCACATCTTAAGGCGATACGAAAGTAGCGTGGAAGAGGTCTCGTTTATGAAACTTTTCTTTGAACTGGGTGCACAGAATAGTTTCAAACTTTAATTCATAATGCACATCTTAAGGCGATACGAAAGTAGCGTCGAAGAGGTCTCGTTTATGAAACTTTTCTTTGAACTAGGTGCACAGAACAGTTTCAGATTTTAATTCAAAGTGGACATCTTAAGGCGATACGAAAGTAGCGTCGAGAAGGTCTCGTATATGAAACTTTTCTCCAAACTGGATGTACAGAATAGTTTCAAACATTAATTCAAAATGCACAACTTAAGGTGGGATGAAAGTAGCGTCGAAGAAGTCTCGTTTATGAAACTTTTCTTCAAACTGGGTGCACAGAATAATTTCAAACTTTAATTTAAAGTGGACATCTTAAGACGATACGAAGGTAACGTTTATGAAACTTTTCTCCGAACTGGGTGCACCGAATCGTTCCAAACTTCAATTAAATAAATGGTATTTCCTGAATTATGTAGGCGTTAACATACACTAAATAATGACAAACTCTGACGTGCGATTTCTAAATTGATTATCATACTGCTGATATAAGAGTAACGATGTTTAATGCAATAACGACTCGTGAATACTTCACAAATTTAAATGATTTATAAACGAAGATACATATTCGATAAAGCAAGGTGCAGTTTCCGATTGATCAGCATCGGCTTCGTCGAATGTATTCGAACTGTCGAATCATGTAAGGTGAATTTAGTTTTTGAATAATCACTTTAACGCGAATGGCACTGAATATCAATCGCTTTTCGAGGATACAGGATAACAGGCTATTTCTGGGTCGATTAACTTGCAGAAGTTGTTCCGCACTTGATTATGAAAGGAACGTGGGATGCTAACATTCCCGGTGCCTTAATTACTGCTTTAATGGCTGCATCTTTAATTTAGAATGGTAATTCCGAATTCAACAAAAAGTGGTATAAGGAAGAACGCCCTTCGCTTATTCAGATTGCTTGGATTATTATTTAACTTATATCTGATCAGATGTAAAATAATCACGAAGGACCTGCTAAATAAATTTTATCGACAAAACCACTTATTTTATAAAGTCATTAAAAAAGTGTATAAATGAATCCACGAAATGAAATTTCACGGATGATTCAGGAAAACTCTATTTATCAGCTCACTTGAACACCGGGAATTTTAACACGAGACTTTGACACGTCATCATAATTCTTCCCTATTTTCAAAGATTTTTAGTATCAGAAGACCTATTTCGAATTATTTATAAAAAGGGACTTAAGAGATACTCATGATAGTATATTACAAAAGTTCTATATAGACTTCAATAATTAGGTAAGATTTATGTGACTAACGTCCTCGACCATAATCTAAGACTGTCCTTATATATTTATTATATTGTTGAAAATATTCTGCGACAAGATCAGACGTGGATTCTTCCAGACCTCATACCGATGTTAAAACCGGTGTAAATTTTTACGCTCTTTTCTCCGCGAGGAAAAAATACCTAGATACGTTGCTGATTTTAACTCCACATTTGACATAAACAAGTGGTTCGACAAAAATCCATATCGCTTACGGCGCGAACTATTTTTCTAAATATGTGTTTACGACGTGTACAGCGCAATGGAGGCTACCGTTCGGAGATACCGGAGCTGCTAAAAGTAATATATTATTTCTGGATTGATTACCTTGTAGAAGTTGTACCACGCTTGTTCCTTCAAGGGACGTGGGATGGTAATGAACCGTCCATCCTGGTCTTAAGACGCATATTGCAAAACTAGGAGACACTGAAAGGATAAGTACGTATCATACTTAGCAGATAATTAAGATTATTCAGAAACATTGTTAAATTACGAACTCATTAAAAAGTATGATCTAAAAAAGATGAGTATGGCCTCTTACCGGGTTTGTGCCGAAATCTTCAGTTTTATTTTTTTTTTTTTTCAATTAATTTCATTGATTACAACAATGAAATCTGAAGCATTTATACTTGTATGCATATCTAGGCAAAGGAGGTCATTTATTTAATAAAAAAAAATTCGTTCAGGCGAATTTTTCTTAAAAAAGAAATGATTTGTTTCAATTGCACGTGTCATTCGTAGAAATAACATTGTTCAGGATTATGATCTTGATATTTAAACTCCTGAAAAAAAAATAAGAGTTGAATTTGTATTGAATATGGTCAGGGAAACTCGGTAGAGTTTCGCGCCAAATACATTTAAACGCATGCGCGAATTATGTTAACCAGGAAGTTGTTATTCTCGATCAGATACATAATGTCAACGTTTAAATAAGTTCTGCGCATTACCTTGAATAAATAAAAAGAAGACGTCGAGGAGTCCAGTAAAAAGTAACTTACGAATCCGTTTAAAATTCATATCATTCGGTGGATCTGAATTCATTCATTCATTCCTGGATGTTTGAGGAAATCGCGGCCATCGGACTGTGTCGATACCGTCGACAGCGATTATCAGATTCCGATTACCTCCTTAAGATACCAAAGTCGTTAAGAGGTGACATGCCGTTTATTGATGGATTATCTTGCAGAAGCTGCAGAGCACCTGTTTACGGAAGGTAAGCAGGTTAGGAAAAAAAAAATATGCAAAAAGGCGACGCCGATATTAACATTAATCGATTCTAAATCGAAAGAAATTTTCCAGAATGGTACCCGTTCCTTGATAAGGTGATACCAATTAATCAGATCCTATCGCTGAAGTATTATTCTACAAATGAAATATCTAGTTAAAATCCCGACTAGGAGTTATCAAAATTCCCATATATATCTTACCTTGATTTCGGATTAATAAAAAATGCCGAAAAATGTTCGATTAATGTTACAATTAATAATATAAATAAATTAATATGTTGGGCTGTACTTATTAGATTTACTGCATTTCAGTTTTACTGACATTGTGAGCCAACTTCCGAATTTGTATATTACATATTTATGCTTATATTTTGTTGCAGTTCTTCTTGGCGTTTATCTATGTGAATTACGATGACACTTGCCAAGAAAACGGTGCTAGTTAAGGTGACAAGCTAGTCCTGAATTGATTACCTTGTGCCTATAGGTCGTATCGCATCCGTTTATGACACGAATGCGAGATAGTATCAAGGGAAGCGGTAGAGTCTGGACGCCAAGTACACAAAAAGATTTACCCACCCATCGAGTTTGTAATTTAGAGTGAAGATTCTGAAGCCGCAAACAAAATTTACAAGGGTGGTACCGATTATCCATTCGAATGATTTAGGATGACCGTAGTCTCTGGATTATGAGGTACATCGTGATATACGATGACAAGGGCGAATAGGATGGCTGTTCCTGCTGTAATACCCCGAACTACCCGAGATGATATGTCTTTTCTATTAATCATCACGTTGTACTTACATATCCAATGAATGCAACGACGCTACTGTACATATATAGAATTATACTAATTTTAAGAAAAATGTTTAAATTACATCCTGCCTTTTACAGAAAAATTTCCTTGTCGTGCAATCTGATGTACCAGTTCTGTTTTAATCACGCTGCATTCGCATGTGCAATCAATGCAACGATACTACTGTACATATCTAGAACTGTACTAATATTAAGAAAAAATGTTTAAATTGCGTCCCATCTTTTACAGAAAAATCCTTGTCGTGCAATCTGATATACTGGTTTTTGTTTTATTATTTTTTTTTTAATCACGTTGCATTTGCATGTGCAATGAGTGCTACGATATTACAGTACATATCTGGAACTGCATTAATTTGAAGCAAACATTTTTCAATCATGTCCAGAGTTTTGTACGATAATTGTAATTGTGTATTTTGATATGCCAGTTTCGTTTCAATCATCACATTGCACTTGCATGTGAAATTAATGCTACGATGCTAATGCACATATCATCTATAACTAAACGAGTTTTAAAAAAAACGTGTTAAATGATACATAGTGTTTTTCAGGAATTTTCCCGCTGCGCATTCTCATCGCTGAGAACGATTTCTGTTTAAGTTATACATACTGGATAAATGAATTTTAGTATATATCTGTAATATAAAAAAAAAGTGTGCTATTCATTGCAGTGACTTTGTAATTTAATGTTTTGTCTAGTTAGGTTGCGTAGAAAAGGAGAGGGTATATGTGTATGTGCGATTCACTTCAACGTTGGTGCATGGAAACGCCGGTAACTTCTATAACATACCGCAGCTGCTCGGAATGATAAGCTAATTTCAGATTAATGATTGCATACTTCCCCTGCGTATGGAACGGATGCCGGCTTGTTAATACACCCATCTAGAGCGATCTTAATTACGAGGCGAAGGTTTCGATATTCCAGAAAAATTGGAAAAATAAAAGCACCTCTATCCAGGTAATATCTAATGGTTCCCGAGAAATTGGATAATAAATTCGTACGGCGATATTAAAACATACCCCGCAAGAGCAATCGTTAAAAACCACTCCAAATGGTCCCACTTTAGAACATTATAATTTTTAGAAATACACGCCACTAAGTACATCTACCGTATCAACACCCATCAATTATTCCTATTAACTAAAACACATGCAAGTCGCCCAGTATCATCAACGCGAACATTACTAAAAATATGTCCCTGGATAATTACCCCAAATTATCTACGTCGCCCGAAACCTCCTAAAAAAATGGATTTATGAATATCTTTATCTGCCGGAGTACAAACTGCGTCCTTTAAGCTGTTCAATCCATTCCCGAACTTTTGCAATTATAAGTAAGGAAAAACTGAAACGCTCGGTTCCGAACTTCCGAGTGGTCCCATTATTCCGTATCAGTGTCCAGGATAAGTTTTCGGTTCTCCTCTGGTTCTGCTGCCCTCTTATGCTCGAGAGTCCTGGCCTTTTCGCGAGTCCTCACTCTTTCCAATAATTGGCTCTTCTTTGGTCCGGCGTAATCGTTCCCTCCATCTCTCGGGTCCGATTTCCTCGGTCTCGAGCGAATCCTCGCCTTGAACTTTCCGATTAGTTTCTGGTACTCCGACTCGTTCTGGCTGGACGAGACGTCCTTTATGGTCAATCTAATCTCATCCGGTAATCCGCGACTCGTCCTGGTAGGTGGATTTGCGTTTTCCGATTGGCCGGACTCTTCCGCGTGCTTACGTCGTTCTCTTTTCGGCGGATCATATATCTGCTTATCTTTAAGCCTCGTACTCTCATTACCGTCCCTGCTGCGTTCTGCAGAGCCGCCGTCGAGTTTCTTGAACTTCTCCTGTGCTCTTATCCAAGGCGCGTCCTTCCTACCTCGTAGGCCATCCTTGGACGTCGCGACGCCGACGCTCCTTAACTTATCGACCGATTTTTCCTCACTTTCGCGCCTTTCTTTCCCGTCGCCCGATTCGTCAATCTTTCTCGAGGTCTGATTGGAGTCCTTAGAGGCAATCTGAAATCGTAACGCGATTAATTCTCGTCATTTCTTTGCGAAGAAGAATTAATCACTTTTTTAAGGATGGCCACGTTTTAACGAGATGGCAATTGAAAAGATAATATGCACCGGTCCTTCCTTTCCGAGGAGATTCGGAATTACGTATTTTGCAGTATTTCAGAACGAGCGTAGTTAATACCGGTTTTCGCGATAATATATAATATTTAATATTGAAAAATTAAACACAGGTATAACGCTCTAATCACCTTTTGCGTAGGAGTGTCTATTTTGGATTTCGAAGGTACTTTTTCTTTCTCCGTCTCTTTCAGACTTTCTGCAGCAGGAAGCTGTTTTGCCTCATCTTGAACAGGTTCACCGTTCACGCCATTTTCTTCGTCGCTCTTTAAGAGCTTCTGACGAGGTGATTCCGCATCCTTCTTGAATATTTCCTTTATTAATGTTTTACTACTTCTCGGGACTCTTCCTCCATTTGCAATCTCTGCTTTCAAGCTTTCGCGGAATCTATATTAATAATTACTGACAGAGTTTTCTTTCTATTTCATGGACTTAGTCGGCTGACAGAAGTACCTTAAAAGCCCGACAAAGCCAACCAATATGCATGACGTCAGTATGATAAAAATCACCAGAGCAGCAATAGCAACAAATGACTCGTTCGGGAGTTTGCCAAAAATTGGCCTCGTCAATCTGTCCTCCATTAAATGGGTTCTCCAATTAGGAGGACCCAATACTACGAGTATTCGATACGTCGAACATAAAATATATATTTTAATTGATTGCTTCAAAGAAGGTTAAGGAATTGAATTACCTTTTACAATGATTATATTGGTCGTCCACTTAAAATCTAAATCGCCTTGTTCTACCACACACGTCCATTTGCCATTATGTGATTTATTTATCGCAGCAATGTGATCCGTGTTTACCTTAGAAAATAATAAAATTCAACTCTGAAATCGTAGTTCCAAACGGGCACATATATAAGAAGTATAAAAAGCTCTTAAAATGTAATAAGAATTAATATCTAAAGTATTTATTTACGACTGATGGCCTTGCCACGTGAAAATATACAGATTTATCGGCGTAGACCGAATGTGTACCTTTAGATAAATTTTAATGTTATTTAAATAATAAATGCATGTTTAAAGAGTTACTTACGACCACGGGCATCGTAATACCGTAATCCTTCCATGTTTTACCATCGATCAACCAACCAACATTAAGGTCGGTGTAAACATAACCCAAAACGATACAGTGACATGTCACGGAAAAGGGTAAAGTTTCCCGAATTTTAACAATACTTTTAACTGGAATCACTGCTAAAGTAACTACTTTGAAAATCATATGCGAACCATCCACTCGATGTAGTGTTAAGGCGTAAACTCCAGAATCATTTAGCACTGCTTTGTTCACAACTGTAAGAACAAAAACATTTTAATTAACCAAATCCAAATTGTCTTACCGATGTCATGATCCTGGATTTTAAACCTGTCATTCGCCTCTTTGACAAAAAGTCCATTATGGGTCCACCTGATGTGAGACTTAGGCGACTCGCTTTTAATTGGAACAATAATGTCAGGGTCACATGGAATTGTTATTTTATTACCTTCTTTTACAGTAAGGGACGTAAAATTTCTGCGAATCCGTTTCCTTACCATCGTAATCGTGTCTATAACAAATATTATGTATTAAATGTATACCATATATGTCCTTATCCGTTCCCTGTAAAAGTACCACGAACATCATCGTTTTTAATTATAATTCATAAGATATTTTTCAAAGCTAGTACTCTATTAGTTTAGAAAATATACGCATGATTCTATCAAGAAAGATTTTAATGTTTTTATGAAACCAAAATATGAAAAATACAAGTAGGTTTCATATTCATAGAAACAAATGACAGCTTAGTTAAGTGCTTGGAGGGTGATTTTTGCGAGTTGAAACGTAAATTAATTGCTATAAAAATATGATATGCATTATTTTATACCTTCAGTTATGTCTCCGCAAGTGTTCATATTGCATCTACCTGACATGGTACTCGGCCCTAAACACGGTTCTCCTCTTACATTTGGTGCTGGATTGTTACAAAGTCGCTTTCTGGTTCCAATACCTCCATTACAGCTTACACTACATGCCCATGGTCCCCATTCTGACCAACCACCATCTTCAGCATCACCATCAATGTCTGAAGCGAAGCATGGTACTCTCTTAAAAATGCATCAATGATTAAAAATACATTAAGGTATGTTTATACGCAGAATTTGAGATACGTTATTAAAATTGCATTAGCAATGATTATATTAATGCTTGCAAAAATACGGATAACATTTTGTCAAATTGTCTGTATAAAAAAGGTCCTTGGCTGACTGATCATCGTCCGACCTGAATCGCTGAGGTTAAAAACGGCAAATTCGGAGCGTATATTCTGTTCGTAACATAGATGCTCACGAAGAAGGGATTTTTCGACATTTAACCCCTAAGGGGGTGAAAAGGGATAAAGAAGGAAGATTATATAAATCTGGAATTCTGCTTGCACATGTCGCCAAATTTTATTTACCTATAGGTAAACAATTCGCCGTCCAAGTAGCCCAGCCACCACGGTCAACAGCGAGAGAAAAAAAGTAGAACAGAAGAGCAGTTCGATGTTCATAATGAAAAACTTCTGTTTCATTGCATGACACTTTAATCGTTCCACCGTACCACCTGTTCAAGAAGAATCGACGAATGTACCTACATTATAATTAATGTCACCGAAACATTGAAATACATGAAAATAAGTACCGAAGTTATGCCAGCTGTAAGAACAAACTACACTATGCAAAATGAAGCGTAACAAATTGTTCTGATAACAAATAACCACAATTGCTTTATCGAATATGAAGTATAAACCTTATAGTTATATTCGTCCACGTGTCTGCTGTGAATAATGGCCCCGGTGCCCTTTGTTTATGAAATATTTGAACATTTGGTAAGGTATTTCTCATAAAAAATATCCACTGGCCCAACTCCCCAATTGTCAGACCGTAATACCTGTAAATCGTATCGTCATCATTTATAATTCATCGTACACATTTGGTAATTTTAATTCAAACATACCCTGACGTCTGATACGTCAGAAATAGGGGAATTATTTATAATTCATCCTACACATTTGTTTATTTTAATTCAAACATACCCTGACGTCTGATACGTCAGAAATAGGGGAATCATTTATAATTCATCCTACACATTTGTTTGTTTTAATATAAACGTACCCTGACGTCTGATACATCAGAAATAGGGGAATCATTTATAATTCACCCCACACATTTGTTTATTTTAATTCAAACATACCCTGACGTCTGATACATCAGAAATAGGGGAACGAGAACAACTCCTTTCGCTCGAATTGTAAGTTCCAGTCTGTTCGGTGTTGGTGTTTCTTCGGTTTTCCAGATGGATAAAGGTAATATCCTTGTAAACTTGTCAGTTGTTGTATGTTCTATGTGACATCCTAAATTACGAATAAAATCCATACCAGGAAATATATCAGTTCTTTATCCCGTTTAGTCAATTAAAAATGGATAGTACAATAGCGTACTGGAATGGCAATCGAAGCTGACAGCGATGGCATTGCCACTTTCGCTGGTATAAAAGTAGTAAATCGGCAAAAATGCCTTTTCTAGCTCTGGATGATTCCAACTAAACAACGGATGAGTTCCACCCTCGTAATACATCTCGACAACACCTCGTGGGATTCTTAAAACGAAACGGCTCCATTTTCCCATATATAACAGATGCGGCAGAGTCTTCTTCTTGACCAAGTGTAAATCTTTCGAAAATAATTAAAATATTTTTCAATTGAATCAGGAATCGGAAGCTAAATACGTATGTAATAACAAATGATACTAGGAAATAAAATGTATAAAATTGTATATTTAGATGATTCACCTCTGTAACCATTTTATATAACTGCAGGTAACTGCATTTCGATTGAATGTATACTGGAAAAAAAAAAAAAAGTTACAATGGTTTACGTACCTTCCGTCTCGCTTTCGTAATACAAATGTACTTGTTCGTTATCCTGGGCACCGATCTTTAAAATGTATCGCGATTTCAGCCCATCATCTGCTGTAAAGACAAATGTAATTGTATCTGGGTGGTCGGGTTCCCATTCCTTTAGAGCGAATTGTAATCCTTCGGACCGGTATTCCGGTAGAACGAACATACGCCTGCCCATTCCTTGGCCCTTAACAAGGAATATGCATTCTTCTATGAACAGTAAATGATACGACAGTCACATTTGTTAGCTTTCTAGAGGAAAGGTTTCTTTTGATCCTTTTATCCGTACCAGGTTTTTCGCAGTCTCTGACATTGCACAGATCCTGCGGGATCCATGGATCCTTTGTGTAGCACCAGGTGCCAAAAATATTTCGTGACGGGTTTCGACAGTAATTACTGGCATTCATGATGCTGTGCTCTGGATAAAGACTATCATTAAAATAAGCAGGATCCGTGGGATTCATGGGCTTCAATGGAGGGTATCCCAGTTTTTTCACTTCTTCCGCCCGTGCTTCCGTTGAATTAATGACCTCCATGGATTTGTTCTTATTTATCATGTTAAGTATATCATAATCGGATATCCAATTCCCGCATTTCAGTCCGGAACGTGTTACCGATAAAATTCCAATGTAATCGTTTGCCGTTCCTGCCATTCGGCACTCTAAAAGTAATTCAATATATGAAGAGATTCATTCAAACAGTGTACCATCATTATTGCCCAACGATTAAAGCGGTAAGATTAATTACGGAATTGTTGCTTGATATTAACTGAAGAATTCTTCATAAGTCAGTGTCAAGAGACTTTAAATACGTTTAATAAAAAGTTGGTCCATTAGAAAATTCTTTACTATATGATGTTTAAAAGTTGTATACAATATGTATTATGGAATGTAACATTATTAGCACTACTGGTTTTGTCACTTTTATTTAATCTACAAAATAGAAGGGTAGAAATAACTTTATCTTACCTGTTGAGCCACACTTTCGAACTGAACAAGTTTGTTTGGAAACAACAAAAGGTACTGCAGATGAAATTGAATAACAATATGGACCTTCAGGATCGCGTAGAGGATTTCTGCATTTGTTTAAAGCTTTAATAACTGCAGTGTCAACAAAAAGATCGTCCTTTCGTTGGTCTTCTGGTACCTAAATGTTGGAAGTCCAGAAAACAATGTTTATGAAATGTTTACTATTTCATTTAATTCCGATAAATTAATGATAAGGTCGCCTGTACTTCTTCCGAAGCCCACGGAATGCATGGATGTTGATTAGCACTTGTCCACTGTAATCCATCGTATTTATATTCGGTTGGACTGTTAATGCAATTAGGAGGCCAAGGTTCTTCCACAGGATCGCGTTCTGCAAAATAGTTCTTCAGTAGCACTTAATTGTACAGATTAATAATAATATTGTACAATTCGAGTCATATATTGTATGGATAAGGTCGTATACGTATTAAGAACTAGCTACCATTCATTCATCGAAGATCCCATTAATAATTTTATAAAATTAATTTCTCTTCACTTACCGATACGTTTGTTAAAATCCGAAACTGCTACAAATTCCTATGCACTTATTATTTTACTTTTTAATTTAATTTCTCTTGGACTTACCTTTTGGATCGCAGTAAAAGGCCCAATGTGCGACATTTCCATCACTTCCGGCACTGAACCACCTTACGGTTCCAAGTAATTTGTGATTAACATAAAGTACTTCATCGTGGCCATAGACATATTGCCCAAAAATTCGTAAATCCGATCCAAAGAAACTGTAAATATGAGGTAAGTTTAACAATTCTGCACAGAAACATTTTAATTAACCCAGTGAACACTGTTATATAACTGTTGGGTAAATGTTACGTTTTCGAAACTAACATCTTATGTAGCATAAAAGTAACGTGGAAGTTAGATGTTAGTTATTATTTCCCACTCAATAAGGTAACATGTTATGTAACATGTTATATCAATGTTATATTAATGTTATAATTTCAGTTACCTTAAAATAATATTAATTTTTCATACATTTAATAAAAAAGATCACGCAATTTTATCAAAAATTATATAATTTTTCATTTTTAATTACTTTTTGGCACTTGGCAATATTTAGGCATTATATAATAAATCAGACTTTAAACGAAATTATGTGAATGATAAACTATCTGATTTTACTTAAAGACAATTAGGACTTCATTCGACTAGCAAACAATTACTGATAATGTGTATGCAAGTACGAATTAAAATCACATTTTTTCATACGAGTAGTAAACAAAATATGACATATATTAATCTTATGACATTTGACGATGAATTATGATGTAATAAAATAGATGACAGCACCAATGTAGTTCTGTTTTCTTACAAATATGTGCTGCATATGCACAGTAATATCAGGACAGTAACATAATGTAAGATGAGAGTAACAAAGTTATGCTACATTTATATAGATACGATAGTAACAAATGTTATGTAACCCGTTAGCTCCATGTTACATAACTGTTAAGTTACTGCATTGTAACAAATGTCATGTAACTAGTTAGCTCTATGTTACGTAACTGTTAGGTTATTACACGTTATGTTATTTGTTAGTTTTAAGTTACATAACTGTTAGGTTTGGTGTTCAGTGGGAAAATGTCTCGGTGCCCATTTATTGATACCTTAATGTAAATTCCTTCCAACTCCAATAATCAAGCATGCCCTTACTAGGGGCGTCTTTTAAATGTTGTTTAGATGTCTCGGTCTCCTCAAACGTCAGCGACATGGTATTAGCCTCTCCTATAATTATCTAAAAAAAAAAACACGTTAATATACTGTAGGCTCAGGCATATGAAATATAAACTCGAGTATGCACACTCGAAGGATTAATCGTACGGTGTAACGAGGAAATGGTGCTCCAGGATTTTGATATAATCGTATCGCTATTTTACGACTAGCTCGTACGTGGAAGTGGAGGTCGTAAGTAATGTTACTAGACATCAACGGCCACATCCTAATAAATTCCATGCCAAAGGTGGTATGAACTTCGCAATCTGTAAAAATGATAACGACCTCAGGTATCTAATCCCGACAAGTTATGAACACACGTGGCATTCCGTAATTACAGTAATGCTACTTAAGAGCATGTAGGTACTTCCGATGTATCCGACTTACGTTTTACAGTACTCGATTTGGTACCGTTTAGAAATGTACAATACGGAGTAAAGATTCCGGACTTTGGACAATTTTTCTAATTCAATGTCTATGATGTGAAAATTGAGAGATATTGCATGGATTTCAAAATCCTATGAGAACGGTCTTTTGTTACGATCTTGCAATTAATTTGGTCTAGTCGAAAAGCTATTAATTTACGCTCGTTTATGATATTCTATACGCGTATTCGTACTTTCTTTGCAAAAGCCAGTACTCCATAATACCCCGGTTCCCATGAGACCGTAGTACAGAAAGGTATCGGGATACAAGCTGGAAATCGTGTTCCTTTTCTTGTACTCTTCCAAAAACAATGGCTTCGTGGAACCATCCAATCCAACGGAAAGAAATCCTCCACCCCACGCCACCCACAGACCCGTCCATTTCGATCCAAGCAAAATATTCGGTGTCTTTTCTCGTTCATGATCTAGCTAAAATCAGTTATTTTCACTTTTGATTTAATTTGAAATAAAATATTTTATTCGTTATCACTAACACTCGACGAGGGGAATGTCTGTCCACTGCCCGAGTTCGAAATTACTATCTCGACGCCTGTTCGCCAATCTTGAGCAATTTTCTTCGCTGATGTTGGGATAGGTAGGAGGCTCAGAAGTAATCTACCTTCTCCCTAAAGATATTATTCCCACGTTTACTACGTATTTTATTCCAAGCATTGTGATATGTATATTGTAACACATACATTTTCCTGGTCATAAGGATTCCACAACTTGATCCAAAGCGTTATATTCCCCAGAGTATTGTTCAAACTCGTTATCGTGGAATACACCGAAGCATTTCTTGCGTATACGAGACATTCTGCAAGTCAATAAATAAATTACATATTTTTGTAATTTCCTTTTAAGATACACTCGATACCTCTATCGTCGCAAAACGGAATGTCACAGTACTCTTGACTGGTTAATTCATAATCATCTTCGTCTACGTAACACCAAGGTCCACCAATACTGTCGTCAGGATTGCGACAAAAGTCCTTAGCTTTGATTCTCGATTGATCGGCAAAGAGGTTGCCAGAAAACTTAGTTGTCTAAACAAAATATTAACCCCAAAAGAATTGGAAATTTTTATCGTACAGTGTCGCGAGACAATCGGAGTGGTATTCATAATTCTCCAAGTGCGTTTCATAAACCCATCGATGTTACCCTGCTGTAACTTTCCATGATTTCTTACCTTGCCGTCAGAAAGTTTGTAACGCTTGTCCCATGATTTACATTTCTTTCCCGATGTGGTCCTTTTATGAGTACCACTATATTCAGCGCCTGGACCTGTTATTCTACATTCTGTTATGACAAAAGTACACAAAGATTACAGAATAATAGCGATTTCAATTAAATCATGTACTGAAGAGGTGTAACAATATATTCAAGTCTACTTAAGGGCTCCCTAAGATTTTCTATATAAAAGATTAGTTTTTAAAAGTGACAAAACATTCCCGGTAACGAGATAAAACCGGAATGGAATTAAATACTATAACTGCAGGAAATACCACATTTTTTTTCTTTGCCCCTTATTCCGCCGTGGAGAAATTCTTTTTACCGGGTTCATGTACCGTTGCCTGATATTTCGCAATTCCCATTTACTTTTTTAACACATTCGCGACCGGCAAATTTTTTCCGTTTCAAATACTGAGTATCGGCGAATATAATGAAATTCTGAAATTGGTTGCCGCAAACTTGTATCGTGTATAGTTATGGACGTGATTCACGTCAGCGGCAACTAGGAATAGAATTTAATTAAGACGTGAATTCACGTCAGCGGTCGCAAATGTGTTAATAAACCCTAACAACAGATAAATACCTCCATAATTACACAATGGTATGTTACATTCGTCGTCGATTAGAGTTGGTTCCATCGTGTAACACCAAGGACCTCTTGGGTCCCTTGTTGGATTTCGACAATAGTTCTTGGCCTTTATCATTGATCTTTCAGGAAAATTTCTATCTTTTATTTCTGGACTGACCTGCATTCAACAAAACAATCATTCGTTTAAATTACAGACTATTATAGGAGAAATAAAACGTTCTGGATCCTTGATGTTATTTTATAATTATTCTTTGTTAATTAGTCTTAGAAGTTGTACAATGTCATGATATATGCTGAGATCAGGCTTAATATGTTTACGTTGAATGCCAAAATTAGCATCAAGTAGTGGTGAATCCTGTCATGTATGATATGATAACTTTAATTTATGTCTCTTTTTAAACAAACTAATGTATGCTAATGGATAGGAGTCTAGTAACATTTTATTTCTTATATGTTCTATGTCAGGAAATTCGAAAGATTATTTATGAAATTTGACCATATGCAACGGTTGCTCTGAATGCCAAGATTGACAGCGAATGCCACCAGCTGTTGCCATTATCGAGCCCATATATTCGGTGCCAAGATGAGTGAGTTTGCATTTTGACAGATCTGTCAAAGTACCATTACGAACTGCAAAAAAAACATTTACATGTATTTAGATTATTCTGTATATCCCAGTTTATGATTCTGTAATTAACTAATTAATTATCAAGTATATAAAAAAACGTACAGTCGGTTGTTAATATTGTAAAAGGATACTGCAGGATACATGCTGAGAGTATAAGAACGCTTTGTTTGCACCTCATTTTTATACAACTTTATTAACATATCATGATATAACAACGATCACAAAATATTTCCAAGATATTGATTCATAATTTCTCCTCGCTGGAACTATTGTTTAAATGCTGCAGCAAGACATTAACTTCACCAAATATTTTAGAGAAATACGACATGTTTAATCATGACATGTTTGAGTCAAATGAGAATCGAGATTGAAGGCTGTTATATTTTAATGGTAACGACTAATAATAAAAGTCATACGGCAATAAAACCAGCATAGTATCTAGCTATTTTTAAAGATTCACAAGTACCGCTTCAGTAATCAACAAGGCAATATAATAATTTTGGTATTGTGTCAAGAAAATTGTGTAGAAGAATATGAAACATAATTAACCAAAAGTGACTTGTCTAGAAATTTTATTCCTTTTTACTTAACTTTATTATTCTTTATAGTTTTTTTTACAAAGGACGAGTATTTACTTATCCTTTTATAATACTTATCCTTTTACAAAGGACAAGTATGCTCGCCTTGGAAAATTTGAAATATTCAAATAAGTTTCTGTTTCGCGGCACAAAATGGAGGAAGCTCTCTGATTGGTTGACTTGGTTTCGTGTATCGCTAATTGACGAATAGAATCGCTTCGTGTCGACTGTCTTCCAGATCTGTCAGTGGTTGCACATGGTGTTGCAAGTGACAGGAAGATTCTCCAGAAAGTCCCTAGGCCAATGTCAGCTGTACGGATGTCTAGTTAGGTTAGGTTCAAGTGTGCGATCGATTTCTAAGGGGATGAGCAGCGATGGGGTTATGTGGTCGAATTTAAATTGGTTGTCTAGTAACTTGTAAAATAGGAAAGAAATGGGTTTGTTGACTAATCCTAGAGCCGGAAATGGAAAAATTATTAAATTTTTAGTACAATGGGAGAAAGTTCTGTGCTTTTTCATGTACATAGGCGGTACAGTGTGGGTGATGCTTCTAGCCCTGCCTTCACTTAACGATAGTAAATATAATCTTTTCTATTCTTTATAGAATGCGATTCATTATTTATTTTAAATTACATTATGTAATTTAGTTGATATGCAAAGTCTTATCTCGATGTCATCATAATTTCATACACGTTTTCCTCTTACGTTAAATAGGTACTTACTTCTCGGAAAATGCTCTGCTACCTGGTTTGGTTACGAAAGAATCTAATTTAGAGAGGACAGCGGAGCAATTTCATCGAGAGTTAACCGAGGAGATGAAAAGGTATCCCGATGGAATGCCGTATGCCTGGATATGGGCGAAGCTCCATCAGCTCCATCTTGATGTGTACGAGCATAATTTTACGCTCAATTATCCATTCCGTGACCAGCAGGTAAATTATTAAAAAGTGCAACATGGGTGAATCCTAGTTTAATGAAAACTAGAAGCGGACTAAATGACGTTAATCCTTAAAGTTTACAGGACAAAATATTTATGGTATCGTCAGAGCTCCAAGAGGTGCTAGAACTGAAGCAATTGTCGTAAGCGTGCCTTATCGTCCCATAAATAGTGTTCACCAAACTACAGCACCTTCGATTGCATTGTTGTTAGCATTTGCAAAATTTTGTCGTAGTATGTATATCAGTGAAAAGTTATTTTCATGCTCTTTGTAATCATATCCATGAGTGGCCGATAATACCAAAGCATTACTTGTTATTTTTATTAGAGCAGAAGTATTGGGCCAAAGATATTATATTTCTTGTGACCGAACATGAACAATTGGGCATGCAAGCGTGGTTAGATGCATATCACGGGGTCACCAGTGGGCAGGAGGATGTACTAATAGCTGGTGACTTAATGGGAAGAGCCGGTGCCATTCAAGCAGCTATTAATTTAGAGTTACATGCTATGAGGATTGGATACATAGATATTAAGGTACATCAATTTATTCACTTATTCAATTTCACAAATTACGTAATAATTAACAAGCTGTTTAGGATTACATAATTCAATAGTATGTTGACTGTTAACATATTGCATACGGGTCACGAGATATCTCGTATATAGCAAACCAAACCTTGTGGCCGGGTTACGAGAATATCTCGTAACCCACAAGTTCAAAAATGCGCGGGCTCTGGAAGCGCATTGAACGAGCAGAGTGCCGTACGCAATGTGTTAGTGGCTACTAAAGAATGTAGCCAGATAACTAATTTATGTAACATTTAATTTTATGTCAGAGCACTTTTTACATGCTCATCTGGCTACATCTAATATAAGGAGACATATTGAATAATATTTTATCGGTATTTATAACACTGTAATTTGTGACAAGACTTTGTAATCCTATTTCAACAGATAGAGGGACTTAATGGACAGCTGCCAAATTTGGATCTTTTCAATTTAGCTCAAAAGATGGTTTCCAAAGAAAATATCCATAGATCTTTCCAACGTCGATTCGATGTAAATTATAAAAACAAATTTAAGAAATGGTGGTATCACTTTAATACGTTAATGTCAATGATTTTCACTCAAGCAACTGGAGTACCAACAGGCAATCACGGTCTATTCCACAGGTAATAACCATATATCATTGTGACTAATGACATACTTTCTAAATGATGCATTTTTTAAGGTTTGGAATCGAAGCTATTACTTTAGAAGGTTTCAAGAAAACAGACCGTGGTCGTGAAGCCAGTTTTTTCCAAGTAGGACGAGTCGTAGAAAGTATAGTTCGTTCGTTAAACAATTTACTAGAACGATTTCATCAATCGTTTTTCTTCTACTTGTTACCTTCAACTGATAGATATATTTCAATAGGTAAAGTAATCAATTATTAATAAATTCTAGTTTCAATTAAGTAACTGTATTTCATTAAAATTTTCTACCTACTTAACTATTAAAAGCATTAAAGTGGGGGCTTATTGATGAGTATGTAAAATGAGTTTCTTTAATCATAATACATTAGACAAATTCATATTATACTGCAATAATTAACGCGTATCAAATGAATCTAACTCCTGAATATAACTTGTGACTACTTCATTTCTAGGATTTTACATGCCACCTTTGGTTTCAATCATAGGATGCCTCTTTATAAAGGCATTTTGCTTGTGGTTGAAATTACAAACGCCTCCTTCGAAACGTGATGATAAGAAATGTGATGAAGAAGAACCGGTATGTCGATGCAGTATAAATACCTCTCATTGCTAAAATATCTACGCTCTTAATTAACTTCTCGAAATCCTTTTCCAGTAAAATGATTATTATTAAGCTTATAAACTTATTCCTCAGATTGAGTCATTCGACATTGGAGATATAGCATCCGAAATACTATGGGCTCATATTGCTGGTGTAGTTGTGATGTCATCTCCTAAATGGTTTACATCGGTTGGTTCCTATTTATGGGAATTACCGACAGAAAGTTCCATCTACTATGGCTTCATTATTATCACCATTTTATCACTGCTATGGCCTCTTTGTTTCAAACGGTAAAGTGCCACACATTTATTCTACACAACGTGCAGTTAAAAGTATTTTAATGATAAGTCGTTACATTCCGTAATATTCCATTATATCCTGTTGTATTTCATTGCAGGTCTAAGAAGTATGATAATGTAGCACTTGTTTGTATAATAGCATGGATAGAGTTAGCTACCGCGCTGATGTGCATTTCTATGCACAATTTTTCACTAGCATTACTGGCTGCTACCGTTTACGTTCCAGCAGCGTTAGTTATAGCATCGAAGTCAGTATTAAGAGTAAGGTAATTACATCGTGCGCAATTACTTTCATATAAATATACAGAGGTAGACGTGTATTTATACATTTCATTCCTTAGGTTACAGGGCTTCCTTTACATCTTGTGGGCTTTCTTACATCCCTTTGTGCTGGCATCCCTCGTCGTATTGGGATATACGTTTATTAACTTTCCAGGAGAGGGTGTGCTACCTCTGCTCTCAAGAGGAGTCCAAGCAACGAAGCAAGCATTTGTGTTCAGTATTATAGATTCTATGATTTACGGCAACTGGTTTTACAACGTAACAGTTGCCGTTATATTGCCTAACTGGCTATTATTATGGAATGTTATATGTAGCAAAGACATTGCCGACTCGTAACGACAAAGTGCCCGGCGTAAGGAAATAGGACGGAATAACCACGTTTTACCAAAACGTGCGAATTCAATTTCATTATTTTTACATGCTGGTCCAATTAAATAAAAAGCATTTCACATTTTTACAATGAAGCGTGAACCATCTACATTACGAATATCCAAAATATTTATTATCAGAGTAATATGGCATTGTTGCTCCTTAATCGTTCAAAAAGATAATCTATAAGAAACTCCATTGTATCATAAAAGCGGCTGATTGTGTACATTTTTTTACATCAAACAAACAAATAAAACGCATTCTCTATTATGCCTAATTATTAGCTTTTTTTTTACAGTTGCTCCCTATTCCTGCTATAATGCACTGCAACACTATCCTCATTAACAAAATAAAATGTTCTTACTTTGATCAGTACTTGCTAAAATCACAAATGTGTCAAAAGTGTTAAGTAGGTACTGATCAGAAATCTTTTGGAGACCTTTTGATTGCCAAAAAATGCACGAGAAAAACAGGAACTGGTCCGTATCGACGCATTTTTATGCCCCCCCCCCCCGCCTTTATTTTTTCCACATTTATCCCTGAAAATTCAAAGAATAACATTCACCATACATTAAACGGAATGTCTCACTTTCGTTTCGGTATGCTGTTTCCATTTCTTCGATGTTTTCTTACATACTACCATCAGATGTTCCTTCGGCTTCACTTTAGACTTTACATTAGACGTTTTACTGTTCTCCAATAAATTTATAGCACAACGAGCTTAGCTCATTGTTTTAAGCGACCCAATAAATAATTATTACGTNTTTCTTCGATGTTTTCTTACATACTACCATCAGATGTTCCTTCGGCTTCACTTTAGACTTTACATTAGACGTTTTACTGTTCTCCAATAAATTTATAGCACAACGAGCTTAGCTCATTGTTTTAAGCGACCCAATAAATAATTATTACGTGACATACGAACTTACACGTCCTACCGTGCTATAAGAAGTTGCACTTCAAAACGTTCTCCAAATGAGAGTTTTCGAAGTGATCACGAGGGATTCATAAACACTGCGTCATAACACGAAGCTTATCACTCGATAACCTATACCACTTAAATTGCTCAAGATTTATTTATCTGGCTTGAAACTTCGACAGCTTCCTAGGGCCCCCGCAAAGACCGAACGGAGGCATATCGAAATTCAGGACGTGCGATTCTCTCTTCTACTGAAAGAAAATTCCGAAACCCAACACGAAGCGAGACATTCCAAGAGTCGGTACGTAGCAAATGGTTTCCCCTCCCTGCGTTCGTCAATTCCGTTTAAACGTCAATTTTCTCCTATCGGCCGAGTCAGCCACTGGCAGGAAAATCATCAGAAACGATACGAGCATCGAACACCGACCATTGTGTTATTCTCGCGTCTTAAAATCGCCGCCTTCGCTCAGTGACTTCTCCACACAACGTCATATTACAGTAATAATTGAATAGTGATGTAGGAATGTTCGTCAATTTCACCAGATCGTACTTCTTCTTCACATCATCATCTAAGTGGATTAGCAGAATCTTTAGTTGTCAAAGAGTTGTCATCTAGACTCCTCAATGATTAGTGTGTGATGCTCGACCGATTCTTGTGGACATTATAGCACGTCACGGCATCTGTTAAATATTTAGTGATATGTTTCTTAATTTTAGTGGACTGTTCTTTTCCTTTGCAATATTCCTTAAGGTGATCTGACAGTGACATTTGAAGGATCAATCGTTCGTAAATCTTTTTCTCCTAATTGAGGGTACCAAATCCTTCCAAACTTTACCACGGGAATACGGAGACTCTAAGGAACGTCCCGATACCCATGAAATTTTATTTTTTCTAAAAATTGTTAGAAATCTATGAACTAATTTTTTTTTTTAATTGAAATTGTATGGGTGTCAGGATATTCGTTATAGCCTTCATATTCAAATTGTAAAGTTTGAAATGATTCGGCACATCCAGTTCGGAAAAAAGTTTCACTATCGGAACCTCTTCGACGCCACTTCCATCCCACCTTAAGCTAAATCGAGTGATTTTTAACCCATTCACTGCCAACTACGAGATATCTCGTAGTAAGCGTATGTACCATGACTGCCTCTAAATTTTCCTGGCAGTCAATGGGTTTAAAGTGTTAATAAACAGTCACCTCGGTAGTTCAAAGCAGTGTGTGGTCTTTAATTGATTCTTACGGACATCTTTGGTCGAGAGATCGCGATAGTGGATGGACTGGAAATCGCGATGGATGATTAATTTGTTTACCTTAATAAAAATACATTTATCTAAGAGAGTAACAGTCAAACGTTTAGTTCCTTAAATTCATTAGAATGAAGATCTCTACCAAATTTGATTGACCACCCTAAGAAAAGAAAGCGGTATATATTACCACTATAGTGGTAAAATAAAAGTCAGTTCCTACAAATGATGATATACAACTATTGAAAGAAAGAATAATTTTATGAATTGTATTCTTTCTTTATAGAGTTGTATCCTCTCCTTCTATAGTTATATACCATACACCTTGAAGGGATATGGAAATAATTATAGAAAACTTAATGGAAATTTTTTCGATGAGAAAATTTACAGTGCAGTTCACGTAACAATGTTTAATCGCGATGTTATGCGTAATTCGCATTCGTTATGACATAAACTGTAGTTTACGTCAACTTCTGATGTTTTTATATACTTTTACTATATAAAACGTTATTTCATTCATTTAAAACAAAATGAAATTTTTTCCCGACGAACCTTATTTCTGCTTTCTACGTTAATAATTAAATACGTTTTTCTTTAATTGAAAAGCATCTCTGCACTTTCTTACAATTGTTAATAAGCACATTTTCGATATTGTGCAACGAGTGAATTTCAGATTACACTGAAAATAAGGAATCAAGTGTCGGATGTGAAGTGTAAATTGATAAGAGTTTCGTGAAACAAAAAAAAAATAACAAGCGTGTTTAGAATTACGAAAGTGACCTGATAAACATTTTTCTAGAATCAAAGACTAATTTCTAGAAAGCATCTGTGTTGAAATAAACTCAAGTTTCCCTTGGCGATTTTCTCGCAAATAGCATTTACCTAAATTTAATAGTGAGTCAGTTGACGCAATTAAACGGACGTAACATCCAATTATTCCTCCACCTTGTAATTACTGCATAACTACACGATTCAGTGATTTTACATAAAATTCCACGGTAAAGGAATGTTTACATAACTTCTGTGATAATTCATTTTTATTCCCATTACCTGCTCAAGATCACTGAAATATTGTAAATAAAATCGCTGTTAATACTAGACCTGTTAGGGCATATGCAATTTATGATGGCGCCACAGATATAATTATAATGCATTTAAAATCATAAAATATGTATACGTAGATTTCTATATGAGGTCATTGAAAACCGCAATCATGGTGTACCTTACATAACGCTGTAGTGGAGTCTAGCAAACACGCGATGCGATAAATTCATAAGACTTAGTGTCGTATAAAGCATAAAATACGTTTCATTCACATTTTCCTATTTTTCACAAGACCCAAAGAATAATTTGAATAATATCCACCTTCCACCTTGTGTTTCAAATAGCATTATTATAAATCGGTGAAGAAAAATGGAGCATGTCGTGGAAAACGGAGTCGATAATTCCGATAAGAGAACTGCCAAGACGCTCGTCTTTTACGTCAACGGAAAAGAGGTACGAATGCCTTAAAACGTAACTGAATAAATACGTGCAATTTTTCTATTTATTATTTCATTTATCGTTTATTATTTGTTATTAGGTAGTTGATCACGCGGTAGACCCGGAATGGACTCTACTGTATTATCTTCGCAACAAACGTATCCTTTCGAATGCAATCCCTCTGCAAACACTCACAATCAGTAAGATACGGATGATAAGACCTTTTACAAGATCCATCAGAATGGTATACAAATAATAAATCCTCCGCTCGTAATATGAAAGAAATGAAGTCTTGATGGAATGTTTCTCATTATCTAACAAAATTTAGACGAATAAGTACATTCGATAATGCATCAGTGTGACGAAACACTAATTTTACGGAAACATTCCATTGTAATAAGAGCCTCTCTAGTAGATCATAATGTAATCGGCGTTGATTTTTATTTAAAAAGTGAAACACATCGCCTAGTACCCTTGTAGTATAGTAAAACTAGTATAGTAAAACGACGTCATAGTTAACTTTATACGCGATTTATGACTATACAATCAATTGATACATTATGTTCACTTAACGATCAAAATACAGTACACTTATGTGGTACAAAGCTCGGATGTGCAGAAGGTGGTTGCGGTGCATGTACCATTATGGTCTCCAAATGCGACCGAAATACTGGCAAAATAAGGTACCGACAGTTTAAAATGTACTCTTAAGGGGATGTGAAAGCGGCATCCGAAAGCTCAATTGTTCATAAAACTTTTCTACGAACTGGGTGTCTCAAATCGTTTCATACTTTAAAACGTGAATATGGAGATCCTAAGGTAGGTCCTGAAACTCGCGAAATTTCATTCTTTATAAAGTATTTTTAAAATACCTATAAACAAACTAGAAAAGAATTGAAATTTCATGCGCTTCAGGACCTTCCTTATAGTCTCCCTATTCACGTTGTAAAGTTTCAAACGTTTTATAAGCAAAACCTCTTCGACGCCACTTTCACATCACCTTAAATCCATCCGTCATGTACTGGACGCGTGCTGGAACATACAGTCATTAAATATCATTTATAGCCACTTGGCAGTGAATGCATGTCTGATGCCGGTTTGCGCAATGCACGGGCTCGCGGTAACTACGGTAGAAGGAATAGGAAGCACAAGAACGAAGCTTCATCCTGTTCAAGAAAGGATAGCAAAAGCTCACGGGTCCCAATGTGGCTTTTGCACCCCCGGAATCGTAATGTCAATGTATGCATTACTTCGGAGCATACCAAAGCCTACGATGGAAAATTTGGAGATCGCCTTCCAAGGTATCCACCCTGTAACCAGACATATTAGTACAAATTCCGCCCTACTTGTGTTACGAGACGGTGATAATGTTTAATCGTCATGTTCTCAGGTAATTTGTGCAGGTGCACAGGGTACAGACCAATTATAGAAGGGTTCAAAACGTTCACGGAAGAATGGGAACAGTCCCAAATTTCCTCTAGGATAGCAAACGAGGACTCGGGTGGAAATGCGAAAACGTGTGGATTAGGTGCTGCATGTTGCAGGAACACTTCCACGGCGGAAAAAATTAATTCACTCAGTTCGAGGGATTCCAAGCCGTATGTTGTAATTTGAACATTCTAATTACATCCAGATGGAATATAAATTAAATGAGTATGCCCGTGTTTGACATTATTTTCTGTTATGTTTAGGATACCAAACGGAAATTCATGCAAAGATCTGGAGACGGGTGGATTAGGTGACGCGTGCTGCAAAAAAGCTTTACTCGCAACTACGTCATCTAATTCTGAGGAGTCTAATTTGTACGACAGATTGTGACCATCTGTTTCTCTATTCGATTGTAATATGATATACGTGATTACATTTGCGTATTATCATTTTTTTTTAGGATTCCAAATGGAATAGCTTGCAAAGATGCAAAGTCGTGCAGATCAGGTGATGCTTGTTGCAAAAGAAGCTTCACGTCAGAGAATACCAAGGCATTCAATTCCAATGAATCTAAACCGTAAGTTTTTTATCAAACATTTGTCTTACTCAATGAAATAATAATCTGAAAGTAAAATCTCTTCCACTTGCCGAAAATCGTTTCGTACGGTTTATAGGATTCCAAATGGACACATTGGCGAAGAGTTCGAAAAGACAACTAGAATGGGAGAGAATGTTAAAAAAGCCTTCACTTCGGAACCGGATGAAGTATTTAACCCGAATGAATTTCGACCATATGATCCATCTCAAGAACCGATCTTTCCTCCTAAATTAAGTGTAAGTGAAGTTCCTGCAACATTACACAGTCTAATTGCGACAGCAAGGAACGCAACGCAATAAATTGCGCATTCATTAAGAATGATATTAAGAGAAAGGTTTGCGCTTTCAGATATCCTCGGAATTGGATGAACAGTACTTAGAGTTTAAAGGGAAAAATGTCACTTGGTACAGGCCTACTGATATGCATCAATTACTTGTTCTTAAGCATCGTCACCACAATGCAAAGATCATCGTCGGTAATACTGAAGTTGGTAAGTCACGAGAATCTCGTTATAATGAATTCAGAACTTTCAAAGCAGTCATTTTAAAATGAATAAAATATTACGACGATGGAATAATCACCTTATCGATTATCCTCTAGGAGTCGAAGTGAAATTCAAACACTTTTTATATCCCGTACTGATACAACCAACGCAAGTGAAGGAAATGCGCGAAATTTCCGAAACCCCCGATAAACTGATAGTGGGAGCTAGCGTTACTTTAATGGAAATGGAAGAAGCTCTCAGAATCCGAATAAAAACCGAAGCTGGTAATTATAAATACGTTTAAATAATCCAAACTGTTGGTCGCTATTCGCACCGAAATATGTACAATACTGTCACTACGTGTTTCAGAATTTAGAACGAGAATTTTTAACGAAATTGTTAATATGCTGCACTGGTTCGCTGGAAAGCAAGTACGAAATGTCGCGGTAAGACATACTTAAACAATGAATAAGTAAATCTTATGGAGACTTCATAAGTGATTCTATAAGTACATATGTTACTTAGAATAATCCCATGTTCTTATCTATAGGCTGTCGGTGGAAACATAATGACTGGGAGTCCCATATCGGATTTAAATCCCGTATTCATGGCCGCAGGTGTAACATTAAATTTACGCAGTCTAACTAGAGGGAACCGATCTGTACCGATGGATCATACATTCTTCGTGGGTTATCGAAGGAACGTTGTTTCACCTGATGAAATATTAGTATCCATCGAAATTCCGTTCACAGTCGAGGTACAGGACGATTTAACCCATTTGCATCATAAGGAAGTATAAAAAAGAGGGTCCTTATCACCAAATTTCAGGCTTAATGATAGTGACAAGTAAAATTGAGCGTATACATACGCTCCGGTGATAGTGACCAAGAAAACTGAACGTACACGAGTATATATGCTAATGATGTAAATGGGTTAATGCACGCTATTGAAAACGTCAAATCGAAAATCCCCGATACAACATATTTTATAATATATTTTATTATCCAATACAGGGCCAATATTTCGCTGCATACAAGCAAGCCAAAAGGCGAGATGACGATATTGCCATTGTAAATTTAGCTTTGAACGTATTTTTCAAACCAAAAACAAATACTGTCCAAGATGTGCACATGGCATTTGGTGGGATGGCACCTGTTACTACACTGGCGAGGAAAACGCGCGAGACCATTATCGGAAAGTGTGTAGATCATATGAATTGTTTAAATATTCCCTAGTATTTATGACAGATTGTTCAATCCTACTTGAACTTTCCAGAAAGTGGGACTATGGTCTGCTAGAAACGGTTTATGACTCCTTATTGAAGGAACTTCCCTTATCAGGTGATGCACCTGGTGGTATGATTCTATATCGACGTTCTCTCACTCTCAGGTAATAAAAATTTAATTAAACATTTGGTAAAACTGGGGTCCAGGGGACTTCTGACAACCTCGACATATTTTATGAAGGTTGTTTGTTACAAAATTACAAAAATAATTGTTATGTTAGGGTGTCGGATAAGTCCGTTCGCTTTTTCCGCCGTTCGCGAACGGACTTATCAGGCAACCTAATAATCTGAATGTACGTTTTCGACACTTGATACATGACATAAACTCAGCACCTGGTACATACGTATTATATGCAAATATGTCTACACTTGCCGTTCTATTTTGACCTTCCTTGCCGTGATTCTATCATCAGATTGTTGTGTAATGAGTCATTTACCAACGCTTTCTTCGGAACAATAAATCCCATGTATCCGTTAGAACATAATTAGAAAAGTATATATTATTAAGTGAATTACAAATTTGGTATATTGTTAATTGCTGGCCGGCCGCCATACGACGACATGATTCGACGTATTAACCTTACATAAGAAAAATCAACCCAGATTAAATCAGTCTAAAAAAAATTGAGAACTAACCCCTTGCGCTTCGATTTAATTATGAAAAATATTGCGATAAAGCACCATTTAATTTAAGTTAGCTGCTGTTAACTGCATAATATAATGGCGCAGTTGGTCATTAAAACCTTATAATGAGTCTAGCTCGTCATTGTAGCGCAAGGGGTTAACATATGTTTAACTTTATATACTGTATTTCTAATGTTTATAAATATTTAATTTGAATTAATTTCAGTTAGATTAGGTCACTAGTTCCAATCCAACTATTGTTAACTACAGCCAAGTGGTTATTCACTAAAGAAATAATTGATTTTAATATTCGAAAGCGCATAGAAATCAGTTTTAAATCGCAAGCAGAAATCACTGAAAATTGTTGGAAATCACATTATCACAATTTTAAGGCCGAACGTCACTTACTACTGAATCGCATTGTTGTTTCATTACATGAAATCAAAATCGGTCGTCATATTGTGATACGCAACTATTTTGTAATATCGGAGGGAAAGAGAGAAAGAGAGCGTCTCTTGTTTTCTATCTCTTAATCTTTCTGCCGACACAGTCAAATCATTATTAGGAGTCTATATAATAACCTAAACCTCAGTTTTACCAAATCTATTTTATTCTATTATTATTAAATATCGACAAAATACGTTTTCTAATTATTTGCGCAGCTTATTCTTCAAAGGATTTATTCGTATTACGAAACAGCTTTTGAATGACGTACCTAGAATTATTCCTTTGCCTAAGGAATTAGAAACGGCAGGGGAAGGTTTCCATTACCAGCCTCCAAAAAGCTCCCAATACTTCCAAGTGGTAAGGTTCTAAATTAAACATTTAATTAATCTAATGCGTTAAGAATAAGTAAATTTAATGCATATAGAAGAATATAGGTAAATGAAACGCGCACGCTGTAGATTAAACATTCTCTACTATACTCAAAACGCAGACAAAATAAATGGTAATATATGACACTGAAATGTTCAAGCGTAACTAATCAAATTCTAGTAACGCAAAGCAAACTTAAGGTGAGATGAAAGTGGGATATGAGGAGTCCATAGTTTATAACCGTTTTCTCTTAATAGAATGGACCGAATCGTATGAAATTATCGATTTATCGTATTAACTAACGAATATGGAGGCCCTAAGTAAAGTTTTGACCCCCATAAAATTTCATTTTTTAAATACAAAATTAAGGAAATATTTATAACAGTTTTTAAAATTAAATTTGAGTGTCGGGACCTTTCTTGGGACCTTCATTTGCACGTGGTAAAAACTTAAACGATTCGGTACACCTAGTACAGACTACACCTAGTACGTTTCATACAAACGAGACCCCTTAGACGCTACTTTCATATCACCTTAAAGATTGAACATTTCAATATTTAAAGGTGTCAGAAGATCAAGATCTAAAAGATTTGATCGGTAGACCGATATTTAATCGGTAAAACTCTATCGATTCGGTACACCTAATACAGAGAAAAATTTCATACAAACCAAACCCCTTAGACACCACTTTCATATCACCTTAAAGATTGAACGTTTCAATATTTAAAGGTTTCAGAAGATCAAGATCCAAAAGATTTGATCGGTAGAACGATAGTCCACGCAAGCGCCTATAAGCAAGTCACCGGCGAGGCAGTATATTGCGACGACATCCCACACGTCGTCGGTGAATTATATCTAGCATTAGTTTTATCCACGCGAGCACACGCCAAGATTATAAAAATCGACCCATCTAAAGCTTTGGCCCTCGAAGGGGTAGTGGCATTTTTCGACGCGAAGGATGTACCAAAAGACAAAATGATGGTCGGTCCTGTGGCTCACGACGAGCCGGTATTCTATTCGGACAAGGTACCAAAGCAAATGCCATAATTCCTATAACAGAACTTCGTATCTCTTGTAACGTTCAAGTGAGTTCAATCCTTTTTAACGTCGAACTTCTAGGTCACCAGCCACGGGCAGAATATTGGAGCGATCGTAGCCGTGGATCAAGTCACCGCCCAAAAAGCGGCGAGAATGGTCCACGTCGAATACGAAGACATATCTCCTATAATCATTTCGATAGAGGTGGTACTCTTTTAAACAATTGTTTAATGTAACAGCTTGTAAGACCCAGTGACATCTATCGTGTTCCCGTTTCTTCAGGACGCCATTAAGGAGAACTCTTTCTTCCCCGGATGCCCTGTTCGGATAGTCAAAGGCGATGCAGAAAAGGCGTTCAAGGAATGCGATCATATAATAGAAAAGGAAGTGCGAATGGGGGGACAGGAACATTTTTACCTAGAGACTCATGCCTCGATTGCCGTCCCGAAGGAAGAACACGAAATTGAATTGACCTGCTCGACTCAACATCCTAGCGAAGTCCAAAAATTGGTAGCCTATGTCCTCGACGTGCCGATTAATAGGATTAACGTTCGCGTTAAACGATTAGGTGGTGGTTTCGGAGGGAAAGAATCCCGAGGAATTTTGATTGCATTGCCAGTGGCTATAGCCGCACATAGGTAAGCGAATTTAATGGCTATAGTAAGTATATTCAACAATTGTTTAATGTTATTCACGCCTTAACTGCTTTTTTAACACGTTGGCCGCCAAAGTGGCCAACGTGTTAATCGACGTCGGTAAATCATTCAGAAAGGAATATGAATTTATTTCCTTACGTACCTTCGATATTAACAGCATGTACGGAATAATTGCGTTTTAGCCTGCACATTGTTTATGATGTACCCCTTAAATGGGAATTATCCACGAAGAGAGTCAACGTCATTCAGAGGGAATCATATTATTGATCACCTGGTACCACAGAATTTAATTGAAATATAATCGTAATTATATTCATCATTTAATGAGGATATTTTATATATCTTTGTAAAATTATTACTGCAGATTGCGCAGACCAGTCCGTTGTATGTTGGACAGAGACGAGGACATGATGATCTCTGGTACCAGGCATCCATTTATGTTTAAATATAAAGCAGGTTTCAACAATGACGGTCGTATCCAAGTAGTTGAAATACATATTTACAATAATGCAGGATATTCCCTCGACCTTTCGCGATCGGTGAGTAGCGAACATCTTCGATGAACATTAAAACTGACGATAAACTCATTATAACGTTACATAAAATTAATCAATTACATGCAGGTGTTGGAACGTGCCATGTTTCACTTTGAAAACGCTTACAAAGTGCCCGTGTCCAACGTTTACGGTTACATGTGTAAAACTAATTTACCATCGAATACTGCATTTCGGGGTTTTGGCGGACCTCAAGGAATGTTCGCGGCTGAGAATATCGTTCACGATATAGCTGATTACCTCAACATGGACGTAACAAAGGTACCAATTAAGATAACTTGAAACGTCATGACTTCTCACATTAAACTGTAAACATAAATGACTGTAACGAGAACATGTTACAGGTATCTGAATTAAATCTGTACAAAGAGGGTGATTTGACCCATTACAATCAAAAGCTCGAACACTGTACATTGGAGCGTTGTTGGAAGCAATGTCTTGTTTCCTCGAATTACGAGGAAAGATTAGCCAATATTCGCCGCTTCAATAAGTAAGTACACTACAACTGGTTTTAGACGATACAGAGAGTACTTGTTATCTAAGGTAGAGCGAAACCGTCGAGAAATTTGATCGACGTCGGTAAACAAGATTCTTCTCAATACCTACGTTGCCGACATTCGTATTTATATCGATAGCTGTGTCGAATTATGTTGGGTATTGTACTAAATGACATACTCCATATGTCGTTTCCATACAATATTTATAAAGAAATCGAAGTAAAACTCCAGAAATCTCTCGGATTCTCGGTTTTTGATGCCCCAATTGACTGTAGACTGCCACCCTGTGCCATCTGTGATTTTAGTTTCAACTAAATTTTCTCTCCGAGACCTCGTGTTACCTTCGATTTAGCACAGAAGGGCATGAGACACTTTTTTACATTTATCCCGTTCAAATGCGAGTTTGTCCATTACCAGAGTCTTCTACATTGTTTAACAATTGTCCTGACACCTTCGTTTCTTATATCAGAGCCTTCAATACTTGTATATCGATCGAAATATGAGAGCTCGACGCCGTTTTAGTTCTGGTCTAGGCTAAGTTAACCAATCTTTTTTTCGAAAATCCAAATTTATAAAGTGTCAGGACAATTTTTAAGTGACATGTCAGTGTCGAACAGTTCGATCCAATACTCTTAAAAAAGAAGTGTCTTATTCGAGTCGACTGATTCGAGAGGGGTTTCACTTCATCTTAGTTGTAATATACTATGTACTGACAGCATAACACTATTTCCAGAGAGCATAGATACCGGAAAAGAGGCATAGCAATTGTTCCAACAAAATTCGGCATTGCGTTCACCGCTTTATTCCTAAATCAAGCCGGAGCACTCGTCCACATATACACCGATGGTTCGGTATTAATTAGTCACGGCGGCACCGAAATGGGCCAAGGCTTGCACACAAAGATGATTCAAGTAACGTATAGTGTCATTTATATGTACTTATTAATATTTCAAAATAATTTATTCGCCATCTTTCAAGGTCGCGAGCAGAATCCTAAGAGTTGATCCTAACAAAATCCATATCAGTGAGACTGCAACTGATAAAGTTCCAAACACATCAGCAACAGCTGCGAGTGCTGGTTCCGATCTGAACGGCATGGCTGTAATGGTAATCCTACAAAGTCTATTCAGTTTTTTTTTTTTTTATATGAAAGTGAATTATACGCGACATGTTCTTTTCCGGTTATATAGAATGCATGCAACACAATAATGGATCGCATAAAACATATCGTCGATAGCAATCCGAAGGGCAAATGGGAAGAATGGATATCGAAGGCATATTTCGAAAGAATCAGTCTCTCCGCTACCGGATATTACCGAACTCCAGATATAGGATACTCTTTTGATACCAATTCGGGAAAGCCATTCAATTACTTCACATATGGAGTGGCATGTACGGAAGTGGAAATTGATTGTCTTACCGGAGATCACGAGGTAAACTCGCAATTTATCTCTATTATAATNATATATAATGTAATAATACCGCATGATAATTGATTATTGCCATTATATATCCACCAAACACAGCTCCATAACAGCAACATAACATTGTTATAAAACGAATTATGTAACATACACATTACATATCGGTAACACGTTACATTTTTTAATGTATAACTGTTATATAATTGTTATGCACAGGCATATCATGATATAATAGTTATAGAATTAAGGTAGTCTCGTATTATAACATTACCATATTACCATTAATACTACAACAATAGATAATTTAATGATACAGTACAATATTTGTCAATAACTCAATTATCCATTTATGTACATGCGTAATCCATTTCACAGGTCTTGAGAACGGATATTGTCATGGATTTGGGGGAAAGTCTGAATCCTGCAATAGACATTGGACAAGTGGAGGGCGGCTTCATTCAAGGATATGGTCTTTTTACATTAGAGGAACTGATATACTCTCCAACTGGGATTCTTTACAGTCGTGGTCCTGGGGCATATAAATTGCCTGGTTTTACGGATATACCTCAAGAATTTAACGTCTCGCTTTTAAAGGGGGCTCCTAATCCAAGGGCTGTTTACTCGTCAAAGGTACCGACAACCAATACAAGATAGTATTTGATAGAGCGTCCTCATGTCGGGTAAACAATATGTATCTAATAATCTGTTAATTTTAGGCCGTCGGAGAACCGCCTCTCTTTTTAGCTTCCTCTGCTTTCTTCGCCATAAAACAGGCGATTAAAGCTGCTCGTGAGGAAATGAAGGTTACGAAAAACTTTAGATTGGATTCACCAGCTACGGCAGCTCGTATCCGAATGGCGTGTGTTGACGATTTAACCCTGAAGGTAATATCAATTAGTACAAAATTTGCAATTACACCAATGCATTTAACATATTATCATTCGTTTCGTCAATTTTCAGCTCGGCGAAGGGGATGGAAAGCGACCATGGAATATTGTACCATAAATTTTATATAGGAGTTCGCGAGTATAATTGCAAACGACATTACGCGATTTCCGCATATTTAATTATTCCTCGCATGCAAATCTGTATTTATCCTTAGTGAGCTAAAACGTGCGTACCTTCTCTTCCTGAATTAATTGTAATTCGTTAAACATGTTATATGATATAAGAACGCGACCAGCTTTTAATTGTACAATACGTAATATCCAACTAATATTAACAAAGTGTGACTTAAACATTCCATAGTTAGTACAGTATAATCCATGAATATAGGTAAGAAATTGTGTTGATTTTACTTGTATCATGTATAAGAGATAGTCTAAAGCATATTAATGACCTGTTTAAATCGCGAAAGTTAATAAAATAATTTCATAGTCTGTACACTCACTCGCTGACAGTTTAATATACACTGACAAAAAACTGATATTTAATATTGATTGCTACTAATGGCTGTCTTAAACAAAAGAAAGCGATTAATGGCGATGAACATAAACGTACAACTATAGTAGTTGATGTCATAAAGTATAAATAAAGAGAAGAACGATTAACACTTTTAAAGCAATTATTCAGGACTACATTTCATTACTATACATTGATTAGTATTAGTCTCTCTTAAACAAAGGGAAGTAACGAATAACCATGGAAATTCGATTATGACTATAGAAGTCAATGCCGCAAAGCAAAAAAGGAAAAAAGACGAAACTCTGACAGCAGTGTTAGTAAAACGTTAAATCCAATCCCCTGTGTAATAGTATGGTTGACTGTTTAAGCTTAAAAAACTGATTTACTGGGAGAGTTCATCGGAACAATTTGGTCATGATTAAAAGTGAAGTCTCCAGATTTTGACGCTGTCAAAATGCCATTAATCACCACCTTCTGTTAATAAAAAATCGATTACAAGCGAGCTATTTCGAGATTTTGTGTATACTGTATAAATTTCCCTCTTCCCCATTTGTTTACAAAAATAAGTTCACTTATTGAACTAGTTGTCTCCTTGTTGCCGTCTCATGATACAATTGTCTCCCCTGCTTAGACGGCCCCGGAAGGTATCACACTTGAGCGTAAATATTGAATATTCATGAATATATTATACCGACATTTGTGGATTTACAAGTCTACACTTTTATTTTGTAACACTTTTTATATAGATCGAAGGACATTTAAGACTCCGTGGAGCAATTGTCGCCTCGCTCTATTTCTTAGCTCAGTGTGTGACTATAAATCAGTATCGATAGACCCTATTGATCCATAGATTGCGATTTTCACGCCTTTTGCGTGTAAATTAATTGTTTAAAGTACTTATTCAGTGACAGGTGACAGTTTAGTATTTTTAATTCCTGGATTCATCTGGACCGTATGAGGGTGAGATAAATACAAGTGAGATTAAGTTTTAAGGGATGACGCGAAAATTTAACTTAATATTTTTACTCCTCTGGATAATTTCTATTGGGACAATATTTACTTCACAAACTCCATGAAAAAATATTGTGGGGCGATTCATAAAATGCATACATTCCATTAATCTTCAGTTTGTGTATTAACTTTATTTAATATGTTTTGTATAATCATTTTTTATATAACCACATATAAAAGCATCAAGTGCATTTTTTTTTCACACGATCAGTTGCGCTTTTCATTTTAATCATGTACCAAATTAGTTTTCATTAAAAGGAGTCTGTGATTTCTCGGAAAGTTAAGAATTAGATGTAAGTTATAAAGGACATCGATACGAAAGAATATACGGAAAAGAAACCGAGTTTAAATTTACCAAATCAATGGACACGTACTCGGATTTTCCTGGAAACATCAGTTTTTTTTTTTTATAAATTGTTTATAAGGAATTGATTGTCTCGTTTACGCCTTTCATGTAAATAAGATGGTTTATAACGTACCAAGGTTACATGGTTTATAACGTACTAAGGTTATATAAAACTATGATATATACATACCAAAAAGTCAAAATATTTATAAAAGTTTTCTCCAAACTGAGTGCACCAAATTATTTAAAACTTTTACACGTGATTATGGAGGCTCTAAGGAAGTACGCGTTGCCCGTGAAATTTCATTTTTCATAAAAAAAAATCCTTTTTTGGTTCTTGTCCGAGAAAAGTACACATTTTTTTTTTTAAAGAAATTGAAAAGAAACGAAAAAAGAAATTGCAGGAGCAGCGCGTTAATTCTTAGGGCCTCCATAATTACGTGTTAAAGCTTCAGATAATTCGGTGCACCCAGTTTGGAGAAAAGTTTTATCAATATTTTGACTTTTTGTTATGTATATGTCACACATTCATATCACCTTAACAGGAAGTAAATAGTCGCGGCTAAATAGACTGACATTATCCAAGGATCCTTACAATTGCGTAACTAAATAATTCGAAAATCCAACTGCGTAGCATGTATTTGCATAACTTCATGAATATATTCATGAGCTACAATTGCATATTACGCTCAGGATCACTGAAATGTATTTCCCAATGTTGGCATCTAAAGACACGTGCAACTGATAACAATGGAACGATTAACCGGATAAAGACACAAGCATGTAAACATGGCCAAAAGTTTATCGACAATCGCAATCGTATTGTATCTTGTAACATTCTAATACTCTATAACATTTAACACATGGAATATAGGAAATATATGTTGATACAAATACGTACATTTGGTATCTTATAAAGCATAAAAACATGCAAATATTTTGCGTAAGATTCAGAAAATAATTTCAATATTTTATGCCATCCACTTTGCATTTTAAACAATGTTTTATCTTATACAATGTCCGTGAAGAAAAATGGAGCTTGCCGTGGAAACTCATAATGGAATTAGTCATCCCGATAAGAAAACTGTCGGTACGCTTGTCTTCTACGTCAATGGAAGAGAGGTACTGAAAATGAATATATTGAAATGAAAATAACTAAGTATCTGCAATTTTTAATTGATTACTTTGTTGTTAGGTGGTTGACCACAAGGTAGATCCAGAATGGACATTACTTTACTATCTTCGCAACAAACGTATCCTTTTGAATTCAATCTAATTGCGAATAAGTCCAATCAGGAAGTCATACGAGTTTATTATCAAGCTAATGATGATATTCATTAGAAAGACAGACAGAAAATAAGAACTATACTGGTAGTTTAAAAAACACGAAGTCAAATGTTTTCCCACTATATAAGACAATTTAGATATGATTCTCTAAACTATTTCCTTACACTTCCGAATGATAAAAAATAGACAAATTCGCTTAAACCCTCCACTACAATAAGAGCCACCCTAAATGCCATAAATCCGTCATCAATTTCTAGATTTAAAAGAAATAAATCTCCATTGTGTTAAAAAAGAAAAAAAAAATAGTACCACAGTTTATTTCGAACTATTACCAATTTTGTCACCCTCAGAATTTAAATTACAAGTCGTTCATAACGACATAATCAATTTGCAACCTTCCACTGACATAAGAGCATCTTTCGTAGATCATAATGTAAGCACCGCTTATATCTTCCAAATGTAAAAACATTGAAAGACATAGGCCTAGAACATTTCGAATAAGACTAGTACAATGACGTTATAGTTAACTTTATGCAGAATTAACGATTATATAGTCAACTGATACATTATGTTCACTTAACGATCAAAATACAGTACACTTATGTGGTACAAAGCTCGGATGTGCAGAAGGTGGTTGCGGTGCGTGCACCATTATGGTCTCCAAGTGCGACCGAAAAACTGGAAAAATAAGGTACGGACAATTTAAAACGTACTTAAACCCGTCCGGCATGTATTAGACGCGTTCTGGGAACATACAGTCATTAAATATCATTTATAGTCACTTGGCAGTGAATGCATGTCTGATGCCGGTTTGCGCAATGCACGGACTCGCGGTAACAACGGTCGAAGGAATAGGAAGCACAAGAACAAAGCTTCATCCTGTTCAAGAAAGGATAGCAAAATCTCACGGGTCCCAATGTGGCTTTTGCACCCCCGGAATCGTAATGTCAATGTATGCACTGCTTCGGAGCATACCGAATCCTACGATGGAAAATTTGGAGGTCGCTTTTCAAGGTATTGCCTACCTAAGAAAATAATTTAATTTAAGGCTCCGATTTTTATTAGTGTTACCTCCTAGCGTGGCGCTAATTGCTCGCAATTGGTTTAGGAAATTTGTGCAGATGCACGGGATACCGGCCAATTATAGAAGGGTTCAAGACGTTCACCGAGGAATGGGAACAATCCCAAGTTTCATCCAGATTAGCCAGTGAAAACGGCTGTGGAAATGCAAAGACCTGTGGATTAGGCAACGCATGTTGCAAAAATGCTTACGGGTCGGAGAAAATGATATCATTGAGTTCTGAGATGTCTAAACGGTATAAGTGCATTCTGAAAATTCAGACTTTTCATCAATGTGGAATTTAGAATAAAGTTATGCCTGCATTCAACGCCGTTTATTATTATTTCTAGGAGAACAAATGGAGATATATTCAATGACGTAGAGGCGGCTGGATTGGGTAATAATTGTTGCAAAAAAGATTTTACATCGATTACTACATCGACAGGTCCTAACGAATCTAAACCGTACGGTTCATTTTGAAAATTGGTGTCTCCAACTAAACAAAATTGACACCAGGTCGCTATTTTTTGACTTTGGAATCTATTTCAGTGTACCGAGTGGAATAGTCTGCAATGATGTAAAAAATGGTGGATTAGCTGACGCTCGTTCTAAAAATGATTTTGCAGCAGAGAAACATACGAATTTACTGAATTCCAAGGAATCCAAACCGTAAAGTCCTGAAAATTAATTTTTCCTACTCAATATAATCCGGCTTTCGTTTATTGACAAATCCAAAGATTTCAAAATAAATAAAAGACATCGTCAACTTTGTGAAATGCATTTGGTACATTTTATAGGATTCGAAATGGACATACTCCTGAGGATTCCAAAACGAAACGTGGATCAAGCGAAATCATTAAAAAAGTGTTTACATCGGAACCAGATGAAGTGTTTAATCCAAATGAATTTCGCCCATACGATCCATCCCAAGAACCAATCTTTCCTCCAAAACTAAGTGTTAGCGAATTTCTTGTATTCTTAAATAATCGGATTTTGATAATTAACAAAGAACAAGAAATAATAAAGAAGTTGGATACAATTAACGTTGACACGAAGGATTTCACTTTCAGATTTCTTCTGAATTAGATGAGCAATATCTCGAATTTAAAGGAAAGAATGTCACTTGGTACAGACCTATCGACATGTACGACTTGCTTGTTCTTAAACATCGCTACAATGACGCGAAGATCATAGTTGGTAATACCGAAGTTGGTAAGTTAAAACAAAAAATGGAATCTCATAGCAATAAGTTTTGTACCCCTAAGACAAATGCCGTAATTGGTAATGTTTCCATGTTTCAGGAGTGGAGGTGAAGTTCAAACATTTCCAATACCCTGTATTGATACAACCAACGCAAGTAAAGGAATTGGGTGAAATTACCGAAACCTCGAATAAACTAATTGTGGGAGCTGGTGTTACTTTAGTGGAAATGGAGGAAGCGCTCAGAATCCAAATGAAAACGAAACCTCGTAAGGGCAATTATCATTAACCCTTAAGCGAAAATTGGGCAATTTTTACCGAATATCATGTCATAAATTTGCACTTTATGTATATAATCTGACACTTTACCAGATTCTTACGTAGGTCATTGCAATTAATAGTGGGAACGAAAAACAAAAATAAAGAAAAAAAAATCTTTTTTTTTGCTTTACATTTTCTTTATATATATTTATGATGTTGACGTTGGGTCGGAATTACTCAAGTTCCGTTTGTGGACTAAAATCAACCGAGAATTTTAATTATTATTTATAATCGTGTATTAAAGATGCAACGATTATGTGTTTCAGAATTTAGAACGAAGATCTTCGCAGAAATTGTAAACATGCTACACTGGTTTGCCGGAAAGCAAGTGCGAAATGTTGCGGTAATGCACATTCAAATATCTTATTATTTCTCTTGTATAAGTGCAACCGTTTTCCTTGGAGTGATTATACATTCTTTTTATCACAGGCTGTCGGTGGGAATATAATGACTGGGAGTCCCATATCAGATTTAAATCCTATTTTCATGGCAGCCGGTGTTACGTTAAATTTACTCAGTCTAACTAGAGGGAACCGATCAGTACCGATGGATCATACATTCTTCGTGGGTTATCGAAGAAACGTTGTCTTACCAGATGAAATATTAGTATCCATCGAAATTCCGTTCACCGTCGAGGTACAGGATGATTTAATGTACCCAGATAGAAATTCATGATCACATGATGTGGAAAATCGATTCACAATGAATTTGCATACCATTTGATACATGAAATGTCTGCAATATATGTACGCACATTGCACAATAAATTTGAAGAATAATTTTCTGGTAAATTTGTCACGCCACGGCTCAGATATGAGCTACAATTGTTTATCAGCAATGCGTGAGATAAATTTAGCTGTACATATGCGTACAATTATTGCGTATGTATATTATTTAATACGTACAACCATTGAGACATTGAATGTACATAACTTTGTTTCATACTTAAGTATTCTTGGTTCGACATTGCGTACTGCCGATATGAATTCCAAATGAGGATTCATAAGCAACACATTCATGACTCATTTCATGATGTTTTATGAAGCAAATTTTGCATCACTTTGTCTATCTGGGTGTGCTAATGAAAATACTGAATCAAAGATCGCCGGAACTTCTTATTTAATATCATATTTAATATAATACAGGGCCAATATTTCGTTGCATACAAGCAAGCTAAAAGGCGAGACGACGACATTGCGATTGTAAATTTAGCTTTGAACGTATTTCTCAAACCCAAAACCAATACTGTTCAAGATGTACACATGGCATTTGGTGGGATGGCTCCCGTTACCACTTTGGCAAGAAAAACTTGCCAGACCATTATTGGAAAGTGCGTAAAGAAAATATATTCCGAATGAATAATATCTAGTGCGCTTAAAAAATTGTTCAATCTTGCTTCTTTTATTTTATTTTTTTCAGAAAATGGGACTACAGTCTTTTGGAATTGGTGTACGACTCCTTATTAAAGGAACTTCCCCTGTCCGGTGATGCACCTGGAGGCATGGTTCTATATCGACGTTTGCTTACTCACAGGTAGAAAAGAAAACTACAAAAATAATTCACCGTAAAATCAAAGATGCATATCTGTACATCTGCAATTTTATCCATTTCCAGTCTATTCTTCAAAGGTTTCATTCGTATCACGAAACAACTATTGAACGACGTTCCTGGAATTATTTCTCTACCGAAGAAGTTAGAAACTGCAGGCGAAGGTTTCCATTACAAGCCTCCAAAAAGTTCGCAATACTTTCAAGTGGTACGCTTCTAATACCTTATGTCAATTAAGGACCGATGCAAAACAATGCTACATTGACCTACACTTAAGAACTAATTTTCATCTTAAGAACCTACATATTAAATACAATTTTACAATTCAACAAAATGTGCGTGGAACAGATCGAACGCTATCAATTCAAAATTACTTCGGAATAAACCGTAAGAATATTTTCATAAAATGATCCAAAGTAACTTGGTCAATTTTAACAGCGTTAGGTAAAATTGAGGATTGAATTTTTACAAAAGAAAAAAATATATATATCGAATGTTTCAATATTTTCAGGTTTCAAAGGATCAGGATCCTAAAGATTTGATCGGTAGAACAATGATTCATGCGAGCGCCTATAAGCAAGCCACCGGTGAAGCAGTATATTGCGACGACATACCGCACGTCGTCGGTGAATTATATCTAGCTTTAGTTTTATCCACGAGAGCACATGCCAAGATTGTAAAAGTCGATCCGTCGAAAGCATTGACTCTCGAAGGAGTTGTAGCATTTTTCGACGCGAAGGATGTCCCCAAGCATACGATTATGATCGGTCCCGAGGTCCACGACGAGCCTGTATTTTACTCAGATAAGGTGCCTCAATAGATGCCCTTTTTTTAAACAAAAGTAATGGTGTAACATCCAAATAAGTCATGTCTTTGAAAATAATACACTCCTAGGTCACCAGCCACGGGCAAAACATCGGAGCCATTGTAGCAGTGGACCAAGCTACCGCCCAAAAAGCGGCAAGAATGGTCCAGGTTGAATATGAAGATTTATCCCCTACTATCATTACCATAGAGGTGACACTATCTTCTCCTTCATTATCTTATAATAAATTATTTCGCAAAAAATAAGGGAAATAATCGAGTTCCAATCTGTTCAGGACGCCATTAAGGAGAACTCCTTCTTTGGATCTCCTCTGCGAATCTCCAAAGGAGATGCAGAAAAGGCATTTAAAGAATGCGATCATGTAATAGAAGGAGAAGCGCGAACAGGTGGACAGGAACATTTCTACTTGGAGACTCAAGCTTCCATCGCCATTCCGAAGGAGGAGGATGAAATGGAATTATTTTGCTCGGCCCAACATCCTACCGATTTTCAAAGGATGGTTGCACATGTCCTCGACGTGCCGTTCAATAGAATTAATATCCGCGTTAAACGATTAGGTGGAGCATTCGGAGGAAAAGAATCTCGTGGAATGTTGATTACGTTGCCAGTCGCGATAGCTGCTCATAGGTAATTGAATTTAACGTAGGATTAAATTGATATAGAATGTAATATCACGTAAAAACTGTTTTTTTTTTCGCACATTTTAGTGATTCGTGTGACAAAAGAAATTAATCTATTACCTTTGATTTAATGACCGAATAATCTAATTTAACACAAAATCATCAAATCATCTTAATGCACTTAAAGTAGTAACAAATTCAGCAACACCTTTGCAAAACTATATTCGTACTCAAATGATCCTCTGAAACTAAACCTATTATTACAATGTGTAATTAATGTTCTGAACATGTCTTGTGTCCTTGAAAAATTATCATTACAGATTGCGTCAACCAGTGCGGTGCATGTTGGACAGAAACGAAGACATGATGATCTCCGGCAACAGGCATCCATTTCTATGCAAATATAAAGTAGGCTTCAACAATGACGGCCGTATTCAAGTTGTTGAGATGTACATTTACAACAATGCAGGATATTCCCGGGATCTTTCGCGATCGGTGCGTAACTAAACATCTTCAACCAACAATAGACTTCACCAGAAAACCATTTTAACGGAATATAACAAACAACGTATTGTGCGCAGGTGATGGAACGTGCAATACTTCATTTTGAGAACTCATACAAAGTACCCGTGTGCAACATTTACGGTTACGTCTGCAAAACTAATTTACCATCAAACACCGGATTCCGAGGTTTTGGCGCACCACAAGCAATGTTTGCTGCTGAAAACATCATCCACGATATTGCTGATTACCTCAACATGGACGTAATCAAGGTACCGTACAATTCATTCAATTCCAATCCCAATTACAACGCGTATTTATCGTAAAACAAATTTTCTTTCAGTTAGCCGAATTAAATTTGTACCAAGAGGGCGATATTACCTATTACAATCAAAAGCTCGAGTATTGTACTCTGGGTCGTTGTTGGAAAGAATGTCTTCTTTCCTCTAATTACGAAGAAAGAGCGGCCAACATTCGCCGCTTCAATAAGTAGGTGTACAACAAAAGGTTTAAGGCAATACCCACTAAACACGGTTACGCAACAATAATACAACCGTTACATAACATTTGAAACATGTAATGCAACGTACATATAATATATAACTAAGATTTGTATTACTATTCTCTCCGCAGCTACATAACACTGTTATAAAATGAATAATGTAACGTATACATAACATATCGGTAACGTGATAAATGTTATGTTAATATTATATGACTGCAATGTTAACGAGTTTGTAACAATGTTACTGAACGGTAATAATTTGACGTTATATGATATTAATGTATCTTTTGAATAACATTATATATCGTGTTACTCCAGTGTTATGTAGCTGTAACATAGTGTGCTTGGTGGGTACCGAGAGTACATGTTATTTATATGAAATTTACTATGAACTGACAGTGTCATGATGTTTTCAGGGAGCATAAATACAGAAAAAGAGGCATTGCTGTTACGCCAACAAAATTTGGTATTTCGTTCACCGCAGCATTCTTAAATCAAGCTGGAGCACTCGTTCACGTGTACACTGATGGTTCTGTGTTAATTAGCCACGGGGGTACCGAAATGGGACAAGGCCTACATACAAAGATGATTCAAGTAATCCCATAATAATTAAATAGCCCGATATTAATGATACGCCGCGGTAGAAATTCGAAAAAAAAATCCAACTTTGTTTTTATTAGTTTAAAGACACGTACACATTTGAACGCGTACGAGACAAGGCGAGGCGGAACGAGCATACAAATGTTGACGAACAATTGGGGTGCGGAAAATTTCTCGGGTTGATTCGGCATATCATCCTAGGTAGGACAATTCACATCTACAAAAATGCCTCGATCGTTGCCTCGGATGATTTCATGAGCAACTAAAAATCTAGGTACACATCAGAACACGAACCCGTAAGAGGCATTCGTTCTGCCTCTCCTAGCCTCGTACTCCTCATTATACCACCCCACCAGCCTATTATAACAAATTATCAGCATTTTAATTATATTAATAAAATAGATTAATTTGTCGTAATCTAAGGTCGCAAGCAGGGTCTTGAAAGTGGATCCAAAGAAGATCCATATTTGCGAAACGGCAACCGACAAAGTCCCAAATACATCAGCAACAGCTGCGAGTGTTGGGTCTGACATGAACGGCATGGCTATTATGGTAATCCTACAAACTCTGAACGCCGATTTTTTTGAACATATCAATTAATCGAACAATTTCACTCTTAAAATCGAATAAACACTCGATGTGTTCTTTTCTGTATTACCAGAACGCGTGTACCACGATTATGGCTCGCCTGAAGAACATCATCGATAGCAACCCTACCGGAACTTGGGAAGAATGGATCTCGAAAGCATATTTCGAAAGAATTAGTCTTTCCGCTACTGGATACTTCCGAACTCCAAATATAGGATATTCATTGGAGAGTAACTCGGGGAATCCGTTCAGTTACTTCACGTTTGGAGTGGCGTGTACGGAGGTGGAGATCGATTGCCTAACTGGAGATCATGAGGTAAAATCGAAACGTATTTCAATTATAATACGTTATTAAATGAGAGCAGTCACCAACGACAGTTGATTGCGTGGGATTAATTAATATACGAGGGAAGATGAAATGTCCGAGCCGTTAGATTGTTAAGAAAAAAAATTAACTGCTTGTTAACTCGAAGTCACCGCTATCGAGAACTCTGAAGTTCCAATATTTGCGCTGCTATGACAAAATTTTGAAATTCGGACCTCTTGAGATACAATTTTTTAATTGATGGGCTTGTATAGAAATTCCAGGAGATTTCTTGGCAAATACAATTGACATTTCTGAAATCTACGAGCCCAAATTAGGGGAAACATCTTTTACAGTGTTCTGATATTTGTCCATTAAATGTTAGAAATCTCGTGATTAATGTTTCGTTACATTCGCACAAACGAACATACAGCAATGCTGTAGTAAAGTACGCTAATAAATACGCAAAATTGTATAAACGCTTAATGTCAACTGTGCATTTATGTTTATACTGTATGTAATTCATCATACAGGTCTTGAGAACGGACATTGTCATGGATTTGGGAGAAAGTCTGAATCCTGCCCTAGACATTGGACAAGTAGAGGGAGGCTTCATTCAAGGATACGGACTTTTTACTCTGGAAGAATTAATATACTCGCCAACTGGGATTCTTTATAGCCGTGGCCCTGGGACATATAAATTGCCTGGTTTCGCGGACATACCTCGGGAATTTAATGTCTCACTTTTGAAAGGAGCTCCTAATCCAAGAGCTGTCTATTCATCAAAGGTACGAATCCTCTAAACAATAAAGTTCTACGATGTTTCCTAGATTACACAGTATCTATATACGATAAAAGAAGTATGACATAAATGGAACTATTCAATTCTAGGCTGTCGGTGAACCGCCACTCTTTTTAGCTTCCTCTGCTTTCTTTGCCATAAAACAAGCCATTAAAGCTGCTCGCGAGGAAATGAATATTGCGAAAAACTTTAGATTAGATGCACCAGCAACAGCAGCTCGTATTCGTATGGCATGTGTTGATGATTTGACCCTAAAGGTAATGTCGACGATAAGCCGTAATATAAAATTTAGATTTGCACTAAAGTTTTAAAATACTAATAACTGTTTTATGAATTTTCAGATTGGCGAAGGAGATGGAAAGAAACCGTGGAATGTTGTGCCGTAATTTTGGGATAGGCAATCTTGAGCATATTATGTGCAAAACAATGCAAATATTTCGATATTTATACATTTAAGAATTTATTACTGGTTTGGTTGTTTTGTAAGCTGTCTTGTGTACGTCTAATCTCTCGCATAGAATAATTATGAGTTGCACTTATTATGTGACAAACACGTGTTCAACTCTTAATTGCACAAGTTGTGTTCTTTAGCTAGTTTCAACAACCACGTATTTTCAACGTTCACTATGTAGTACAGCAATGCATGTAATTAGATAATGGAAATGCTACATTTTCTTATATCCTATTATTATTATTATTATTATTATATGAATTTATTCTAAGATATGCCGAATGTACAGCCATAGTTATTCTCATTTTAATACCGTAATGCAAAAAATGTCTTGCATTTGAAATAGCTAATTCAGATTCCTTATGCAGTTATGTATGTTTGATATAAGAAAATGTGGTATTTCCAATGCATTATCTAATCACATGCATTGCTATACTACATATTCAACGTTGAAGATATATAGTTGTTGAAACTAGCTAAAAAACACAACTTGTGCAATTGAGAGTTGAACACGTGTTTCTCACATAATAAGTGCAACTCGTAATTGTTCTATGCGAGAGATTAGACATGCACACATTTTAACGCGACTTAGAATTTATTCTAAGATATGTAGAATGTACAGCCATAGTTATTCTCGTTTTAATACCTTAACCAGTTAACTGTGTCGACCTACTTGAAACGTGTGTTTTCATGACGAGTATACTCGTCAAACACAGCTAACTGGTTAATCCAAAAAAAAGTCTTGCATTTGAAATAGGTAATTCAGATTTCTTACGCAGTTCTTTATGTTTGACATAAGAAGATTTAGTATTTCCAGTGCATAATTTCCCTACATATCTTAGAATTTATTCTAAGAAATAGTATAACATGTATTATCTAAAGTACATATATTGGATAATAAATTCGTATGTACAGGCTTTCTTGTATCCTTAAAATTGGAAATGTAACAGAAACGCCATCGCTTCTACTCAATTTCTCAGTTTATCGTTAAACATTGCTTATACCAGACTTCTCTACAGTTTCCAAGAGATTTTGCAAGTTAGTTTCGAAAAGTTCACATCGAATAGGCATCTCTAAAGAATAAAACGGATTTTTTAAAGCATAATCAGCATAAAGTTCATAAACCCTCTTGGATAGTATCTCCATCCCTGGCTGTGATGGTTCCGCTACTATCATGAACTTAACACCAGTTAATGTCTGATAACAATATAAACGAAATGTGTCTGCTTCCAATACTTCGATTCCTGAACATCGAGGTTCGGGACTCAATTGACTAGCAATAGCAAATAAGGGATAGAACATAGAAGCAAGAAAGATTTTCTCATTGGTGGTCATTTTTGCCCTACTGAACTTTAAATTCACTGGAAAGTTTTCTGGTCGCTCCAACATCTCCAAAACATCCCTACCATCGTCAAGCTCCCGTCCAGTTACCGAGCTACCGTTGACCGCTGTTAATGCATGACCCACTGAAAAAAAAGGAAGCTACTAATAACAATGAATACCTGAACCACCTGAACTATGGAAAGCAGTGATTAATCCTACCAAAAACTCTTCAGGGATATTAAGGTATAACTTTTATATGCACCACAGAAAAGACAGACTACGAAAAAAGAACTTTTTAAAATTAACCTTATTTACATATAATAGAAAAAAAAAGTTATAATGCTTCGAGAAACTGTGCAGTGAAGTTTAAAAAAACACACTTGTATGTAACAAATTTTAAACTGGTTCCTTAATCTAGTCCTAAATAAAATGTCTCACTCTCCGTGTAATGTAACACATCGTAATTGAGTATTTAATATCTCAAACAGCTATTTAACCTTTAGAGCTCTGTTGGCTCCGCTACGGGGATATTCATCATAATGTCACGAAACTAGCGGAGCACTAAAGGTTAATATAAACATTGATAACAAATATATATTGAAAATATAAATCAGGTACCAAATAGCATATGTGAATGTATTGACACATTGATTGCCTACCACACACCGGATGCTTTGGGACTAGTCTTACCTTCTCCAATTGATCAATTGATGGTTACATGGCAAATAACGCATTGAATATTGCATATATGGTAATATGATTCTAGCATATCGAAGACCAAAATAAAATCTATTACATTCATCGTTTAAAAGAGGTCATTCTGTGATTTAATATAACTTTCTTGTAATAAACAATAAATAAGATGTAGAATCATTCTTACCATTAATACCATCCTTTTGTCCAAATGCTACGACAATTTTTTTGTTCTCGTAAGTTAATTTGATGTCCAAAGGATATGTGAACTGTTTTTCATGCTCCACTTTTGGAACATTATGATCGTGATTAAAGATCAAACCTCCAGATTTTGACACTATATAAACGCCGTATATAACCATCTTCTGTCAATCGTCAGTTGATCGGACTCTTTCAAGAGGTTAGGTCATCGCTCAGTACAATATTCCGACAAATGTAACGATTCCTTGGTGTTAAATAATCAGACTACCATTTCAGTAACGCATAATACCTCTATACTTTAGCGTTTTTCGCGAAAGAAGACTTTATACATTCATTCAAACTAAAAATTTAAACTGAGTTTCACTGAGTTTATCCATAGATAAGTTAGACCACAGGAAGTTATACAACCATTCTCTCAAAACTATGAATCTATGCTTACAGAGCCATCGACGGCAACCTCACTACAAGGATTAATTTCTAACGTAGATTTTAAACGTAAATATTATGTCAGGAAATAATGCAATTCAAGCAATAACCGTACCTCATTATGTTAGTTTCTTTACGGTATGTAAACATTAAACAAAGAACGTATTTCTTCTAACTTATTAATCTTACGGTGATTGTAATAACCAGGGATGAGTTGAGGGATTACTCACGAACTGCATCGAGTGATCGCCTTCTATGCTGCCTCCGGTAGAGAATGTGGGCGGCTCACGCATTTGCCACCTGATACCCGCCAGTGGCGGCCCAACTCAGGGATCCTACTCATCTCTGCTCCTAACTCATCTCAGAATTGGACCGCCACTGAGGGGTATCAGGTAGCAAGTGTGCAATCGCGCGATCCTGCCCGTCAGCACTCTCCCAACTCATCTCTGTGATAGCAAAAAATCCTTTAATATGTCTTAATACCTTTTACCACCAAATCCAGCAAACCCTGCGGCGATGAACTTGAAAATGATGAATGAAGAAAAAATGGATCTTGTCAAGCGGTCCACCTAAACCTGTAAAGGGGCACAAAAGGACACGCAAAATAGAACAATCAAAAGCACCCAGGAAGTCTGGAATTAGACAGCGAATAAGTCACTAAAAGTGAAGAATATGAATGGTACATGGATGTCGCTAAATTTACTGAATTGGTATTAATCATATCAAAGAGTATGCAAAAATCCATTTATATACAGACTGGACAAAATACAGACAAAATGATTGTTCGCCGTCTCTTCCCTGTCAATCCTGACAAAATGACGTACAAAACAATAGGAGGGACAACGTGGCCTAGAAATAGATGGCTGTCCGTTCGAAAGAACGGAAGGCCATCATAGTTGCCCTCTTCTTAAGGGGCCGCTTCGGCATATAGCCTCTTCGACTCTTG